TTCTCCGCTTTGAACGACCTCGTTAAGCTGACGACACGTGCCGACGTTGGGAACATCGTCCTCATCATGCCATGGTACGGCAGGGGGTATGGGTTGCACCCCGATTTTGACCGTCAAATGATTCGCGAAGCTGAGGCTTTGAGGAAACGTGGACTCTGCGTCCTCGATGCCACGTCGCTTATCAAGTGTACTACACGATACGACGGCCAGCACATGGAGAATTCGGAACACGACCGTCTCCAGTGCATTCGCTTCTATTCCGAAGCTGGCGCTCTCGGCTATCATCTTTTTCGACTTCGGTCGTGCAAGCCATTGATTGAGATGGCTGAGATGAAGAAGCGCCGCGAGGAATCGCTGGCCAACCCTCAACCTGAAAACAACCCTCAATGGGAAGAGATGGAAGAAGTGTTGGTCTCCATGGACGTGGACGGTTGGGAAATCTATGTGAAGGAGACCCGACCCAAAGGGCAACGGCTTCCCAATGAAGTTGACCCCGCACGTGCACAAGTCGCACAGGCTCCCACGGTGCAGGATGATGCCACGGTGGCCTCATCGAACTGGCAGCTTTTGGAGTCCGTGGATGCTGCACTGCCGGGGGAACCCGAGCACTTTGAACCGCATGAGGTCAAAGAGCCGGAGATGGATGGTGAGCTCATCGACGCCATCCTCAAGCCCTTTTTGGATCGGTTGCCGGGTGTTTCCGACGAGCGTGACATTGACGAGCCGGATGCTGACGAGGAGATTGTCTTCAGAGAACCCATCGTCGGCGGCTCAGCATCAATGTTTAGCCAGCGGAAGCTGCGCTCCCATCTGATGAATAAGATCCATGCTGTGGACTTCAGATTGGATGGTTCTGGCGTAGTGAACATCTTGGACACCGACGTCACGCGTGACCCTGCCAAGCTTGAACTTCGGCAGGAATCCATGCAGCAGACCGAAGAGGGTGCAGTCATCATTCGTCGCTTTGACTTGACGGATGAGGAGAAGCATCGTCAGATGGAAAGGGAGATCTTTGAGGAGCCCAAGACCGCCGAGGAGAAACTTCGCGCGGGTGACCCTGCTGCCACTGTCCAGATCATGTCGAAGGCCAAGTCGAAGGCGGCTTCCTCATCCGAAGCGGCATCATCTTCGAGCGGCATCGCACAGGTGATCGGGGACACTGTCGGCCAATTCATCAAACCAAAGATGAGGGATCAGGCCACCATGATTCAGCCGAAGCCTGTCCCAAAGATCCCAAAGATCTCAACGGCGACGGGAACGTCTCCCATGGCGTCCCCAAAGCCCAGTCCGCCACCGACTCCGAAGAGTGCAACTGGATCCCCCAAGCTGGAGCCACCTGCACTCCCAGCGGAAGCTGCGGACCATCCAATGCCCAAAGCTTTGCCCTTTAAGGCACCGCCTGCAACGTTGACAACAACCTCACCGAGGGCACCTCCGCAGAAGTCATCGGCGCTTGCAGCTACGTCTTCGTCGGAGCCTGCCCCGAAGATGGCCAAGAAGGAGCCGCCTATGGCAAGTGCTCCTCCCCCGGGAACGGGTGGACCTCAGCCTCCGGCTGAACCGCCCTTGCGACCACAGGGATATCCCAAGTGGTACTTTTTCTCCCCGGGAACGGGCGAGCGCAGGGAATTCACCGTTCGGTGTACCGACCTGCCAGGCCTGAGGGACCTTGGAAGACTCAGTCATGATGATTTCAAATTTTCAAAGAGGGTGACCGGGCTGCTCCGTGGATATGATCACAAATTCCTCGAGGCACATCATCGCCATATTCCTCCTGAATTTGATGAGGAGCTGTACTTGAACTTTGAGTCCATGTACGCGTACCTCCGAAAGCGGCATCGTGCTCAGCTTTCGCGACAGGACTTGTACCTGATTCTTCGAACTCAGGACAGGTTCATGTGCCGCATTCAGGCTGGAATTGTCGGGGAACTGACAACCATGGACATGCCTTACCGCATCACCCACGTGAAGGCCTGCCAAGGCCATGACCAGTCGCTCATTGACAAGGTGGGAACGGCTCCATTGGTCAAGCAAATCATCTCGCTTGACTACCAGTTCACGGTCGAGGATTTGAAGAAGGGATTCTACCCCAGGGTTCCCATTTATCCTCACCTGGCGGAAGCCGAGGTCTCAGAAGAGTTTAAGGTTATTTACCATTACACTTCATGGGACTCCCTCCAGCAGATCATTTGCACGGGGATTTTTCCAGGGGCCACTTCATGCAAGGGTCATGTGTATATGACCCGCCATGCGCCTTGGGAAATCGAAGGCAAGGATCCTGGCATCAGGACGAACAGACCGCTGTGCATCGCGATCGACACCGATTGTGCTCTGCACTATGGTCTTCGCCTGGTGGAAACCTTGGCCGGTGCACTCATCACTGAGGACTGGGTGCCCAATCATTGCCTCATCTACGCATTCGATTGCGAGAAGTCGCAATACCTTTGGGCGAACCATGGCTACAACGGGGTGAAGAAGTACCTTCGGCAGAAGGCCTCCGAGAACGCTCTCACTTGGCAAGAGAACGAGGCTCGGAAGGGCACTCCCAACTACGACGAACTTGAGAGGTACGAGATTTCGGACCTGGAGGTGTTGAAGAACATGTTCGTGAATGAGTACGATCAGTGGAAGGATGTCATCACTCTGCGACGTCCGCTCATTTACAAGGAAGTTCCGACACCATATCCTGTCGTCGATGAGTTGCTCCCGAAGATCAAGCAAAGGCCGCTCAACTTCACCAATCTCCTTTGTGTGGCACGCAAGCCGACGGCAACTGCTGCTGGCTTCGACATCGCCCCTGACAACGCGCGGGAACGCCGTTCTGATCGCTTCGATCAGGAGGCATTTGACCCATCCGCGGAGGGGAACCTCACGCGCTGGCGGTATGTTTCAATGCTGGCAATGCCGGAGTTGACATGCCCCCGGTGCAGGAAGATTTTTCCTGAGGGGATGTTGGTTTGCCTTGCATGCGGCTTGTCGCTGGCGACAATGTCCGACATGCGCCGTGCGTGTCAGGTGTTCCGCCTGGAAGAGTTGGCTGAGAAGCTGGGCTTCGAGCTGACATTGGATCTTCTGGGTGACGACGATGTAGCAGGCACCACTCAAGGTGCCAAGCAGATCAGATCTGCTGCGGCAGTCCTCAAAAATCACGCCCGCTCATACATGAAGCAGGCGAGAAAAGCTGGACTGACTTTGCTACAGCGTCTGGGAACGGACGCCCATTACGCCTTTAATTGTGCGGCCCAAGACCTTACACCTCGGTGTATGCATTGGATTACAGTTCTGGGCAATGTGGTGCTTCCCTCCATCAAGCGCACGCGAGAGGAGATCCGAACTGGAAAGATTCGGCAGTACAAAGCGCGTATGTGCATGGTCGCATACGAGGAGGAACAGATGAAGACGATCATTGTGGATGATCATGTCCTCATCTGGTACAAGAACCGCTTTTACAGAGCCAACCAGTTCGCGGCCGCCTATGCCTTGATCCCGGTGGCCGAACGTTTTGAGGTCTTGAGCGTCGCCAACACGACGTTCCAATCCCTTGCGTTGTCCAAGCAGGATGTGTATGCCGACATTCTCAGCTATGTCGAGGACATCCTGCGCCCCCTCACGGAGGCAAAGGACACGGAAGGCGGAAGCCGACCCCTACCTGCAACGAGGCAGCAGAACCCGGATGTCACCAGGTCCTCGCGTCCTGGCTATGGTTCTCATCAGGGGCCCACTCATGGCTACAGTCAGCAGGAATGGAATGACTACTACAATCAGTGTACTGACCAGGAGTGGGAAGATTGGCGCTGTCGAAATCAAGGCCACCAATACAGGGATCGACGTTGGTCGGGCTATCGCTGAGGCACCGCGGAGGGGAACCTCTCGCCTGGTGAATTTATCTTCATCTGAGGCGGGGCATTTTCCTTTCAATGCACGGTGTCGCACAGTGGAAGCTGTTGCCTTTTCGGATTTAATTCGATTAGGCGACTAGCTTCATTTTGCACGCGTGGGTGAGCGATTCCACGATTATTTCCAACACAAGTGTGCTAAGTCGGAATTTTTGCCAACTCAGTCAAGTTCACAAAAGTTTCATTAACGCTTTGAATGCATATAATTTGAAGCAGGCATTTGGCACTCATCTTATTCTTGCCATGATTCCTTCTTGCATAGCACACGGCTGGTAGTTGCATGTACCGCAGAGCGGAAGCTCTTGCCTTGCGAAGTTAAGGCAGCTTTGAAGCATTTCTGAAAGCTTCCCTGCGGGTTCACATCAAAACCGAATTCAGCATTTTGCTTTAATTCATTTTGTTTGCTTCGGCATGCTCCCGGGCGTCCACAAGAACTTTTAATGCCGCGTGGAAACGCTGGCCTTTGTAATGGGCCACACTTCAACACGTTTGCATGTTCGACCACAAGCCTGGTAGAGCCAAAATGAAGCTGAATGCATCCGACCGAATTGATGCCCACTGCATCCGTTGGCCTTTGTACTTGATGTCATGCCGAACGAATTGCATTGTCAGATTTTGCTCTTGTCATCAACTTGTGCAACACTGAGGTGAGTACGGACCAAAACCCTATGGAAGGAAGGCTGTGCGTCGGGTTTGGGTTGGTTTGTTGTTTTGTTTTCTAACAAGTTAACTTAACGGCATCCCTTACTAGACTGTACATAGCTAGGGTTTGCAGCTTCACCCCATGTATAGTGTTTCACTGCACGGGGGGTGTTGTTGCACAGTCTGTACATACATTTACCCTTTTATCACCTCATATACTGTGTTGCCATGGCTCAAGAAATAGCGTTATTGCGTGTTAGCTGATTTGTGGTGTTTACCGGCTTTTACCCGTAAACTACAATTTTTATAACACATATACATATACATATACATATACATATACACACACATATATATATATATATATATAAATAATATTAAGCCAACTTAGCTATTTGGGTGACCCCACCTTGTTAGTATCTTGGTTTTGTTTTGTGACCGTGATCTCCATCCCTGTCGCAGGAGTTGGAATTTGGAGTGCTGAGTCCTCAGACAGCGCTGGTGAAACCAAGACCTTAGCGAAGATCAAGGGATCAAACTGATCAAACTTCAAATCTCCCCATGGGAAATCCTATCTATTTCTATTCCTAGGGGAAATCCCAATGAAATCCCAATAGATTGGGTTTACCCGAAATGTTCTTCCCAAACCCGAGGCCACTTGCCTATGAGCAACCAAAACGAGGTGCGACCCATGTAAAATTCAACAGCGAAAGTATGCCAAACAACGGAAATTCATGCTCAATAGGGTTTCCTAAGGGGGTCCCCTAAAGCCGATTTTCATAGTTTTCTGATACGTTTTCATCAGCCCACAGAAGGGGTTCAAAATCCACCAGCCATTTTTTGGTGATTTCCGTGTTTGGTGAAGCTCGTGGCCAGATCCAAACCACGTGCCGAAAGTCATCCCACCACGACGAATTGAGTGGGGAGCTTGCCCATGGCCAGACCCAATGACTTACCATAGCAGTTGGGAAAAAATGAACAGATGGGAATTTCTATTCACGAAATCGATGACGTGTTTTTTTTTTTAATAAATATAACTATATATATTTATAGCCTGCCGTGATTGTTGGCGCTCAACATGAAAATTGAAACCAAGCAAACCAACCCGTTGGGGGTTGCCGGGGTTGTCCTTTTAGGGGTTTGATACGGTATTGTCATGTATTATCTGTGTGCTGCCACATGACGACTTCTGGAGCCAAAGACTGCAGATTTTCGTTTCCTTGGACGGCTGTTGCTATCATCAGTTTGTCATCGCTGACCTTCCCATGCCTCAGTCTTTTGAAGCCGAGGACAGCTCCACCTGACGATTTGAAAACCCTCCAACCGAAGGAGGCGAAGAGAACAGAGGTTGAAGTGATTCTAGGTGCTGCTTTTCTGAGGCTGACTGCGAACCCCTTTAAAACCCTTTAAATGATTTACACAGTCACTGCACCTTTCCAGCAGCAAATATGTTTTGCGCAAGGTGGTGCCCCTAGTTATAAGTTGGTTTACACTATACCTTCATTAACTGTAGACATGTCATGACATTTCTACCATAAAGCCCACTTATGCCAGTTACAAACCAACTTAACTATGGGACACCACCTTGTGCTCATCCATGAGCCCAGATTTTCGTCAGCATCGTGGCCAGGTGGAGCGGGGGATGGTGGTGGTTTATGACACTTTCAAGCGCGCCTGGGTGGACAACTGCTACCCTGACTTGGACGAGTTCTGGTTGTGCGACGAGTGTGGGAGCCCGGAACTGTTGTGTCACTTTTTTTGTCGCCTCCTAGTGTGGCAACCTCAGTCGGTTGGACATATAGAAACTGAAGATGGTTGGATTCCAAAGTTTGCAAGGAGTTGTAAGATCTGCTCTCTTGGGTGACTGATGAAGGTTGTGACCCCAGTTGACTAAGGACTGACAACAAGACAATTTTTTCACTGAATTCTGCGGGGGAGGAGGATTCAGTGAGAGCCTTCACAGCCTCCGAGTTGCTATTCACAGGTGGGGCTTGTGCTGGATCTGCTTCACCTGTTATAGGTTGGATATCCCTTATAGTAGCTTGCCCAAAGATAGAGTTTTTCGATGAGTTCAGGAATTCATCACTACTTTAGACTAGGATTTGTGCACCTCTGTGTTGCGGGTGCTCTAATCTTTGTCTAATGGTTACCATCCCATCTCCATCCCATCTTTCTCGCCTTTGTCGTTGTTCTCCATTTTGGTCCAGGCAAGTGGTCTCCTTTGGTGGAGGTCTCCAAGGATGTGCGCCCGATGCAACCACTGAATAGACCTTCCAAGCACCTAGAAAAATGAGGTTATGATTGGGGTTATGCAGTTATGCTATATAAATATACACATCATTTTGGGACCTTGACCCATTTTGCATAGTTGGAGGGTCGAACTACAGACATTTGCTGATTTTACCACCAAGACCACTGGGAACTCCCATCACCGGGGTCTGCCAGGTGATCGTCACACGCGAGATCTTGGAAAAACTGATGGAGATGCCGGAGTGGGAGGGCCAGCTGGAAGAACAGCCCGGGGGCTCGGGAGTTGCAATGTTCTGGGGCATCGGCATCAGTGGCTAAGACAACGTCCCAAGGGGGAGCCAAGGAACTACTAAGAGTTTCCCACATGATATTTACCATTGTTTTGGCAGGTATTTACGTTTCTATCTTTTGCAGGTTGCTACACTGGGATATTTCACCGAGCAGCCTATCGCGGATGATTTGGTTCCACTTTGAGGTAAGAGTGCTGTCTGGGTCAAGGATGCCACCAGAAATGATGGCACAGTAAGGGGAGAGACCCTCTGAATTGTTGCAATACTTCAGATGGACGAATTGCTGTAAATCACCCATAATCAGGTGGAGAGAGTAATGACTGCTCTTGCAGGGCATCTTGGATTATACGAACCATCCATACGAACCATCCATACGAACCATCCATACGAACCATCCATATGAACCATCCATATGAATCATCCATACTTTTCTATTTTTCCACATCCCTGATATCATCCAATCGCACGGGCAGCCACCTAAAAATCGCCTTCACTGAGGACGGGTGTATCCACCCTGATCGACAAGGGCGCAGCCAAGGTCATCGTTGGTCCGGGCAAACCGCCTGATGCCACGGCCCCGGAGCAGCGTCATGTTGGGAAGGGCCGGGAAGGGGGGGAGAAAGGGATGGAAACCCCCATTGATCAAAGGGGAAAAACTGCAACTGCGCGTTGGGTCGGCTTTTTGGTTGATGTCAGTACGATGTCCTCAATTTTTTTTTAATGACTTCGATTTCCCAAGTTTTTGGGTGACTTATGGTGACTTCATGAATTTCCACCACCTTTTCCCTGGATTTTTCCTGGATCCCCCCGGATGATCGGAATGCATGGGACAAGGTGAAGCAAGCTGCCAGCATCGTGAAGAAGCGGTTGGAGGAGATCGATCGGCAGATTTGGTGTGAGGCACTTTTTTTTTGGAGGTGCATGATGAATCCTATACAACATGGATGTATAATGATGTATATATATATATACAGATGTTATCATTTTCATTTTTATTGTTATTACTATTATGATTATTACTATTATTATGATGATCATTATGATTATTATAGTAATTATTATTGTTCTTCTTTTTCTTATCATCATCATCATCATCATCATCATCATCATCATCATCACCACCACCACCACCACTCCAACCACCACCCCACCACCACCACCACCACCACCACCACCACCACACACACACATATATATATATGCACACTGCAGATGTATAGGTATATAGATATGTACATATCTACATATGCATCACATGCATAATACATGGATGTATACACACACACATATATATACATACGTGTGTGAGTGTGTGCATATGCATCACACAAAATAAGAGGCACGATGTACAATGCGTAATCTCGTATGCCACTGGTTCAGTTGAATACACAAGGATACGATATACTATTTTAACATATAACCTGAGAAACCTGGTTTTAAACATTATTGGCCTATTGTGCTGAACTTGTGGTTGGCAATTGATTGTTGGTTTTCAAGTGTTTTTTGAATTTATGTTTTCCTTGCATGATCCATAAACTTAGTCGATCCAAACAAAACCAGGAGTTCTACGGTGGTATTTGCAGGGTGCAAGGGAGGGGAGCAATGTGGGAAACCCAATAAAACTACCATCCCCAATAGAGGTTTATTATTGGGTATCCTTATTTGGGATGATATAAGATGACCCCGAATGGTTGGTTAATGGGAAGGTTTATTTTTGGCTTTACCACACTAGATGTGATATAGCTGATATAGCCACACAGCCCACTTTTTAGAAGGCCATAAGGGTTTACAACCACCAATTTACTGGTTTAAAGCATCGCCACAAATGGTTTTTCCAGTTTCCAGGCACCATCCCCTGTCGGTCAGGTCTCCGAGACCGCGGGGGCGAAGGCTGGGCAAATTGGGCTGAGTCAACCTTAACCAGAATGATACAGAATGGTGCAAACAACCAGTGGTAAGATATGACAAGGTGAACTTTACCACTGAGGTAGATTTGACTCTTATGCGGACTTATGCCTATGATTGCCATAGGCGCATCTTTCTTATTCTTTTTTCCCCTTAGGGTTGCTACAAGTAGATGAAACCATCCAAGCTTTGGGGACACTCGCCGCTGTGCAGGCGGCGGAGCCCAAGGAATCCAAGGCTCAGCCGGGGACAGTGTCCAAGGAGTCCAAGGGCACCAAGAAGCGCAAGGGCCTCATGGGACTGCTGTGCGATCCCAAGGATGAGGCCGGGCGGGAAGGAGGAAGACTTTGGGTTTTCATGAGTCACAATGAGGGTCCATCAGATGCCATTTTGGGGTATTTTACTTTTTGAGATAAGAAACGCCATGTTTCTTGATATTCTTTGGCAATCTTTGGCATGAGTATACGGGATCATGTGCGACATGGACCCTTTGGTGATGAAACTTGGCAATTGTACACTCCACCATTTTGTGTTGGTTCATTCCCGAGATTTGTTGCTTGATCTGCCAAAACATTAGTTGCTTACATCCATTGTGTCTTGGCTCTTCATCCAGTGTTCTATTTTTATACAGTACTACAATGCATTTTAATTTTATAGATTTTTACAGTTATATAAATTAGTTGCTGTATATTATTAGTCTGCAACTATTGTATCATAATACGATCGTATGGCCACCAAGATTTCGATGATTTTTTCATATTTTTTCTCTCCCAGGTGAAGGCCGAACTTGGGGAGGAGGAGGATCACACGGTGATCGACGTCAAGGAGGAGGTCACAGCTCCACGAAAGCGGCCCAGGTGGGGACGGGCAGTGGACTCCTCCTTGTGACTCTGGAAATAAGACGATTCTGCACAAAAAAACGATGTTGGTTCCGAAGTTTTTTTTTTTTCTGATGAGTTCTTTTGTTTTTTGGGGACCTGCTGATATTTGGTGCAGAACCCACAGACCACCAATGACTCCTGTTATTCTGTCACTAGTATGGCAGAGATAGCGAACTATAGCGAACTATTTGACTTTCGGGGTAATGGTGACTGCTTCTCCTGAAATCTCCTGAAAACCATTGACATTTTGGCTCCCTTTCTGCCAGGCAAGCAGATGACCCAGAGCTTGAGGAGAAGAACCACAAGTTGGAGGACCTCAAGGGCGGGTGTTGGAACATAACTCCCACTGATGGCGATTTTGATAGAGAACATGAAGAGAAACCATTTAAACCATACGTTTTTTGGGGCGACTTACCATTTTCAGACAAAGCTGTTGGTTCCTCTGTTCGATGTTCGATCTTCATTTGGCTGAACAAAGGATTAGCAGTGATCAGCATAATCTCTTTTTTTAAGAATAATACCTCAGTTTGGCATACCCGAACAATTGGATAATTTGCACATCTTTCCAGATTCTCTGGCAATTCAGCATGCCAATTTGAGAAAAAACACAGTGGATGGTCAAATGAACACGCATCATATCCCAGTCAATGCTTCGCCGGAGGAACAGTTCCAGATCGGTTTTGAGAGGGGCTTCGAAAATGGCTTGAGGGCCAGCCCGGGGGGGGGGTTTCGGGCTGGGAGGAGCCAAGAGTCACCAAAGATGACAGCATGGTTGGGGAGTATTGGTGAAAACCTGTTAACAGACTCGCTGGATAAAATTCACCAACAAATAGAATGCATGTAGATGTACACAAAAGTCTACCTACAAAAGCTCTATAAGAATACATCAGCCGATAAACATATAATACATATCAAGATGAAAGAACTATAAAGAATCGATATGTAAATATCTCACGAATAGATTCATGAAAACATACAGAATTAAATAAATCATACCAGCAAAGAAATATATATAGAAATCTACGTCATTTTCGCATGTTGCACCTAGATGCAGCCGCGCAGTTGGCGCAGCGGCGTCTGGGTGAGATCAGCGCCTTGACGCCTGCACCTCGCATGCCAGTCACCGATGCAGCTAGAGGTGCGGTCCCCGAAGGTCCCCGAACATGCCAGGGGATGCCATGGGATGCCGGGGGAAACGTCTGGGGGTTTCTGAAGTCATGGTGGGTCCCCAAGTCACCGTTGTTTCAATAAGTTAACCACTGAGTCAGGGTCATCCATGGATATGGGATACCCCTCCATGACTTTTTCGGACACCTCCAGAAAAGTCATGAAAAGTCGGTGTTTCACTATGTTTCACCCTGTTCTTTTTGAAAGGTGAAACTGGAACTTCCAACACATGCACATATATCCACACTCAAAATAACTTTTGAAGGCTTTCCACTCTTGTTTTGGAAGCTAAGTGCTTACATCTCGTGAAGGTTGCTAAGTCTGCCAAGATAATCATCCAGATACATCCGCTTAAGAGACTTTGAAGGATCCCCACGCTTGATGATAATGTGGTAAACCCAATTTCACACACCATCCCCAAAATCACTATTCTTATGTGTGGGATTTCAACCATCCCCAGTCATGGTAGTTTCTTAAAAAAAAATAAATTGGGTTGCCAACATTAATCATCATGAATCATCATTAATCACTATTAATCACTATTAATCAACCATTAATGGTTGTTCTGGAGACACTCATCCTCCGAAGTTCCCTTTCATGTCGCGTTTTCCCACGATGCCATCAGGTGACGAGGGCAATGCACCGATGGGTGATGTAACACCCATGGTGTCTCCTGACGCCTCGAAAGCAAAGGTGGGGCCTCACCAAAAATATGGGGGGAATCAATTCTTTATGACCAAACAGTGAAGATATCAATGTCACTCATTATTATTCTTTCATGGACCGGTTCAGTAGTGTCTCACCTGGGACGGTAGATAGTAAGTTGGCAGTAAGGTCCCGCACTGGCCAATCAGCCCTAATCTTTTGATCGTTTTGACTGGACAAATGAACTGCCAAGATCGGTGACATTTTTTTGAAAGAATCAGAATCTTAGCAAAATCTTAGCCTCTCCAACAGTCAGAAAAGCTTTCTGTCAGGACCTTAGGGCCCCCTAATTCTCGAGTTCCCTCTTTCTGTAGCCCAGGTGCCTCCCGCGAAGGTGAAAGCGAAGCGTGTGGTGGACTGGGTCCGGGAGCAGGAGCAGTTTGCTCATCTGCCCAAGCTCCAGCCTGGGGCCGAGGAAATGGGCTGATGGGGTGAAGTAGAGATAGAAAATAGATGAAACTATAGAAATATGTATGAACATATGTAGAAATCTGGGGAACTATATGACTATGTGGATGGTTGGTTGGATGTTGAGGGCAGTGTGTTGAACGAAAATGAATTTGGGGGTTTGTGTTGTCACCGTTGCCCGTTGCCCCGTCGGCCCAGGCCCAACTGGATCCGTGTGAAGAAATCCAGCGGCGGAGCTCAGGTTGAGGACGTTTGGCGTTTGCAGGTACAAGATGGAGTTCTTGTGGCGATTTTTGTGATATATGTATATATATATATTGTAAATGTATATATATATATACATATCTATACATGTATATAGTACATATATCAAGTATACTGTATCTCTATGCATACATGCACGTCCATAGATACAGAGGTATCGAGAAATCAATACATCCATACAGGTCCATACATATTTCCATAATTTTCCATACAATTGAATACCCGCAGCAGCTTGCCAGCCGCCTAGGTGGAGATGGCACCTACTGCGCCTGGGGCCCTCAGATCGCTCTGCCGTGCAGAATGGGTCGAAGCCGAAACCCGGTGGCTGAGGCCTGTTTCGAGCCATACCCACATGGAATTGTGCATGCAATTAGCCTCACATAGCTTCACTACCGTCAAGGTCATCATTCAACTCACCTGTATCACGGCGGCTGGATGTAATGCCGCAGGGTTTCAACCTGGAGAAGATCCACCAAACATACCGAGCAGCACTGCTTCAATTTCTTGCAAGGTGCTGGTCATAGGAGTTGAGGCTAAACATAGGCCCTATGAACGCTTTCTATGTTTATTGAGATGCAACAGCAACAACAACAACAACAACAAGAAGAACAAGAACAATAACAACAAGAACAACAAGAACTATGCCACTGAGCGAGTCCTCGACAGGCCTGGTTTGTGGATAGCCCTGGCCTACTTCCACCTGTAGCACAAGGGTTTCCTTCACACCTGCCTCCAGCTCCTTTCCCAAGCTCAGCCACTCTCAACCCCAGTTTGGACAATTTCAATTGATGTTTACACTTCACACGTGACTATCACACCCCATTGCAATAATAAAGTAGGCCAACTCCCCTGAACCAAATCATTCAAGCCCTCCTCAATATAGAGTGAGAGAACTTGGTTCGGTGCATTTTTTCATTTGTTCCTGAGCTACAAAGCTCAAGTCTTTTCAAACTTGAACATCAAAAAGCCCTCCGGCTCTCCATGAATACATGTCTCAACTACATAGAAAGCTTTACCTGACTGCACGTGTAAAGTACTCAGATATCGCATCCTGCCTAGGTCAACACGGTGACGGGCGAAACTACCTTGACGGAGCCTTTGCTGAGCTCGGGGACCACCACACCGTTGGGTGCCTTCATGGTGGCCCAGACCCCCATCGCCTCTGGTGCCATGACGCCCGCGGGCACGCCCGCGCACCCGGCACCCAGCACGCCCATGCGGAACCCCTCCACACCAGCGCCCATCCCTTTGCCGGAAGGGTGGACGCAGATCACGCAGGGAACCTCAAGACGCGAGGAATTTGTGAGGGAAATCCTGGAGGAGGGGATCCTCCGATTGCATGGCTTATCTCGTTATTGCCAGAATAACGGAGAGACTTTGGAAGCTTGAATTGCAGCTCCTGGATTCCATTTTTTCCCCTTCATTGGGTGACCAGCGATATGCACAAATTTCAATTCTGAGTTGGGCCCAAGATAAGGTCCAAAAGCACTGGGAAGCCGTACTTCTGGAATGTGAAGCTTGGTATTTCTCAGTTGGAGACTTGGATATTGATTCGTTGCATGGTGTGCGCATGGAACTTGGTACAAGTAGTCGAGTGTGGTGGTTGGCTTCTAACTTAAGCACAGAGGAAGCGCTGGGACCCTGAACATGATGTGAATTCTTTTTGTCATGTCATATATCTTCAGCTCACACCATGACAGTGATGCCAAGATCTTGCCGCGATTGTATGGCACCCATGCAGCCCTGCAGGTTCCACTTCCCCACTCCCAACCAGACGAAGTCGCCAGAGACCAAGAACACCTGAGATCCGCGGAGAGTCAACGAGCTGAAAAGTTGGTCGATGATGGATGATTGGGGGAAGATCTGACAAATCAGGGGAAGATCACCCAAATGATCCACCAATCATGTTGGGACGTAGTGAACACAGGCCAAAGAAGTCGCCTTTCTTGCCTCCGATTTTTCGTTGAACTCCATCTTCTCCAAGTGGTAGCAGGGATGAGAGATTCAGACAGGAGAGTTGGCCACTTAAAGTATTCCTTTTCTTCGACATTGTTTGAGACTACTGACTATTGTATTGAAACTGGTGCGTGTTATCAGACCGTCACAATGCAGCTGTTTGGGAAGCTGTCAATGATCCAAAAAGATGCAGCCAAGTTTTAGTTCTTCTCACGTGCTCCCACTCCTGACTTGGATGGACCGCACCCACCAAATAGATATTCGCTGGGTTTCCCCTTTTTTCCTGGGGACTACGGTAGCCAGGAACGAGCTAGGAGAACCAAACAAACATGGGAACTCCAAGTTAGCTTTGTGCTGCTTGACGTGCCACTGTGCATGGGAAATGGCCGGTGCGAGTCGGCAATGGCAGCACCCTCACGTGGATATCTTCAAGACTCGCTCTGGGGCTGGGTCTGGATGCCGAGCAGCAACCAGAGATTTTGATCGGTCTGGTGCTTTTTTGATTTGGACATCCTTAATGGATCTTAATGGCCCCATGTTTGGCAGCCACATCAACGCAAGACTCTTCCCAATCTTCCCCAACTTTGGTGGTGGATGGTGTTTTTACCCACAAAACCCAGGTGTTCCTCACTGCCAAAGCCTCCGCCAGGAGCTTTGGCACCGATGCTTCCAGCAATTCGCCCTTTCCAGCCTCCTCGCTGGTCGCAGACGTGCGCGGGGATGTCACCGAGGACCAGCAGCTGCTTGGTGCTTAGAGTTTTCCAAAACACAAGTGGCGTTGTTTGGAGATGGGTAAAGTCTGCGCCCCAAGCATTTGTAGTTGAACGCGTTTTGATTACGGCCCAGAGCTATTTTTATCAATAGCCCGGATTTGTTCTTGTAGATTGGACATAAAGAACTCGTTCTATGTCCTTTTTAGGGGTGCTCCCCCTGGCAGGAGATGGATCGGGAGATTTGCAAGCATGTCTTCCGCATCCAAGGGGCCGCAGGGGAGCCTGGCCAAAGGGATGCGGCGGGATTTCGTTGTGAACCAAGGACTGACTTGACCTATGCTGCCCAACATCCTGGTTGGTTAAAATGTGTTGAAACCTGATTCTTGATGGTTAAACCATTAAACCATGCAAAGGTCACAAGGCATGCAGCTTCTTCGCTGAGGTGTCGGCCAATCACTTCATCCAGTTGCCTGCTAGGAAGGCGCGTTAAACGCACGTGGCGCGTTTGTAATTCGGCGGTCGCCACCAAGAAAGCCCAAATCGGAGTAACCAACAATGTGGAAAGTGAGGAGTAATAGAAGGGATTCTCCAACTTATTGTAGATAAATGATTGCCAGAAAGATCAAAAATGGGTGATGTTGCTCTTTTGTCAAGCCGATTTCTGAGCTCAGTATCTCGGGTGGAGCAACCCCGCCCGAGTTTGCAGGTGAAATCCATGGGACTCACAGGGGAATACGTCTACCTCTTAGTGAAGCCTTTGGAACTGAAGTTCTTTCTGGTTCACTTGGACCGGATCTGGTGGTGCTAACTGGTGGAGAATTTTGGTGCTTTAAAAGGGAAAGGTTGGTGCATGAAGCCTTGAACATCTCATGTTGGTTTCTAATTTGGGATTTGCCCATAACATCATAACTCACTGGAAGGCGAGAGGCCTTTTTTGGGGGGTCGCTTGGCCGCAGGATTTTGTTGTGAGCAGCGGCAATCGTCTCCGCGACTTGGCTATGGCAGAGGAGTAGTGGTTCTTTTTCCTTACTTGTACCTTTTGCTACCAGATTGAGACCAGTACCAGCTCGAACGACAAGCAATTGAAAAAAGCACGGCACTTTAGTTTGACATGGATTTCGAGCTAACGATAGCTTGTTTGTTCATTTGTGTAGGAAAGCGTGGAGGAATGAAATCACCACCCAAGGGCCAGATGCTGACCCCTTGTGCCAGGTATCTCCTTAAGCAACCTCTATGAAGAGGCTGCGGATGGGAGTCGACAGGCATCAGTTTTGGACCTTTGATCGCAACTGCAGGTGAAGATTGGGCATCACTGCATCCAATGCCCTTGCAAACTTCCAGATTCTTGGACCGTGCCTTTGCCGACAGTGGTCCAAGAGTTCGCCATGGCCCACCTTTAGCCCCACCCCCATCTCCAACCCCTTCAACCCCATCCCAGCTCCCCAGCCCCACCTCCCATCCCCGGCCCTTCGTCCTCCGCTCCCTACAGCTCTGCGCCTCCTGCGGGTGCGGGGTGCCTTCGGATCGCGCCTGGGATGATCGGAGGTAGAAGCCAGCACCAAACATGGGGCATTTTGTGATAATTTTTGGGGTTTGAAAGCCGGGAGTTGGTGGGATGATGCCCTAAAATCTGATGAAATTGGATGAACTTGGAGGGTTTGGAGGGACGAGACTCTGCCAAAAAATCGGATGAAACCGCATCTGGAGGGCAGGTTGTGACTTTATCAGTGCTTTTTTAGCTGGGAAGTACTTTGTGCAAGCTTTGTAGTGCACAGTAGTACTGGGAAGTACTTTGTGCAAGCTTTGTAGTGCACAGTAGTACTGGGAAGTGCTTTGTGCAAGCTTTGTAGTACAAAGTAGTATTGGGATGTATTGGGAAGAACTTCGTGCAAGCTTTGCAGTACAAAGTAGTACTGGAACGTGCTTTGTGCGAGCTTTGTAGTACAAAGTAGTACTGGGAAGTGCTTTGTGCAAGCTTTGTAGCACAAAGTAGTACTGGGAAGTGCTTTGTGCAAGCTTTGCAGTACAAAGTAGTACTGGGAAGTGCTTTGTGCAAGCTTTGTAGTACAAAGTAGTGCTGGGAAGTGCTTTGTGCAAGCTTTGCGGTACAAAGCAGTACTGGGAAGCGCTTTGTGCAAGGTTTGTAGTGCACAGAAGTACTGGGAAGTGCTTTGTGCTAGTACAAAGTAGTACCTGGAAGTACTTTGCAGTACAAAGTAGTACTGGGGCGTGCTTTGTGCAAGCTTTGTAGTACAAAGTAGTACTGGGGCGTTTTTTGTGCAAGCTTTGTAGTGCAAAGTAGTACTGGGAAGTGGTTTTGTGCAAGCTCTGTAGTACAAAGTTTTCGGAAAGGCTTTTCTGTCTAAATGCATTTGTGTCCCAAGTGTCTGTCTGTGTGCAAAAACTTTCTGCGCCCAATGGTTTTTTGTGCAAAAGACCACTCTCTGACAGTAAGAGCTTTCTGGCGTGCAGAACAGCTAAGATGAGTTGAGACGAACTTCGAGGAGATGAGAGAGGTTGATCAGTGCTCGGATAAGATGAAAACAGTTGAGAAGAACTTACTTTGATGACATGTGAGAAGAAATGGGATGAGATGAGAAGAGATGAGATGAGGTGAGAAGAGCTCACGTGGCATGTGCAAGTGTGAAGTGCGAAGTGCAGGGTGTGAAGCGTGCACTGTGAAGTGGGCGTTGCATTGCGCCGGGGTCGTGCGCAGGTCATGTTCTTGGACAACATCTGTGCAACAGCCTCGCACAAAGCACGCACGCACGGGCCTGGCTGGCGCACGGCGCGTGCAAATTCTATGGATGAAAAAGGTGTTATAGTTATAGTGTATCCCGAAGGCAAACTCCGCCCCGCCTCGTCCGGGTACCACTGGTACACTTTACTTTTATTTTACCATACTTTTCCTCAAACTTTCATAGCTGCTTGGGTCCCCAAGGCCGCTATTCTCCACCAGATGCACCTCGAGACTTAGCGCCGGGCGCGGCCAACTGGCAGTGGATGGACGCACCGTTGCGGGTGGAGGTCAGCGGTGGAGAAAGTAGTAGAAACTGGGGGGTTAACCATCAACATCCACCAACCATCGGGATTCAATGGTGATGGGGTTTACTGGGTTTTCGTGGGATATACGATGTTTACCTTCTGGTCATTCCTTAACGTTTTTAATGGAAGATTGCGAACTTCTGGATGGTTTTTTGAGAATTTATGATGATGCATCGTTATTTGTGATTTTTCATACAACCGTGTTAGATTACCAGAGCCTAAGCATGGGAACGCTGAAAACTCATGGAGAAAAAACATGCTTGACAATGCTAGACACTTTCAAATCATTGAAGGCATCATATGATTGTGAAGACCTCAAGCAGCGAAGGCCGTCGTGCCCAAGAACGGCGAAAAGAGCAGGCCATGGCCCCATGGCTGGGATCCAGCATGCCTGGCCATGGCCGAATGGATCAAAGACCTGGCACAATGTAGTGACCAGAATGAATGTTGTGTCTCATCCCCCTTTTCCTCCTGACCATCCAACTCCGACCGCAGGATAGCAGAGGAGATGAAAGGCAAACATCCTACGGAAGGCAAGGGTGAACTGCTACCCCAGCCGAGGGCATCATAGAATGGGACGGATACGGGAAATTGCACGGGCTGGGCATGCCCCCCTCTCCCCCGAAAATGCCAAGTGAAATAACATTCCCACGGAAAATTGAGGAAATTCACCAACAGTGACACCAACATTGAGACTATCACCATTTCCAATATTTCCATCACCATCTGTCACCCCACGAGCGGCAGCAAAAGGCACAGCAGACGCAGCCCCATTGGAGCCGGCCAGTGAGCTCGAAGATGCCTGGTCGGCAGCTGAAGTGAAGTTGCATCGCTTTCACTTGGAAGAAATCCGTATTTGAGTAAAAATCCAAGTTTTTTCCCTCCTCCTCATGAACACATGAAAACTGTTTGTGTTTCAATTTGTTCCTTGCTTGTGCCAAAGATCATGGAAAGATAAGTTCACAAACCCGATACCGCCCTGATAAGCAATGGATGGCGTGTTGTATCTGGGGGCGAAGACCTGCAGCAAATTCATGGGATCAAAGGATGCCATGGCAATTTTAGGATATTTTAGGTAGATTCACGCTAGATTACCCTCTCCAAATCTCTATCATAGCCCTTATCTTGAACAGATAGAACTCGATAAAACACATATATTCTTGATGCTTAAATTAAATCTCAATTTTTGATGATTCGATCCCCAGTTGTGCTGTGAAAACCTTTGCGTGCGAAATCCAAATCCCCGAGTTTTTCCGCTGTCCCAGGCCCAAACCATTGATGCGCTTTTCATCTCTGCTGGGTGCCACTCAGCCATCCCGAAGGCCGCTAGATCCGATGGATCCGATGGATTGCAAGGCGACGAAAGGTGGCTGATTTGAAGGATGAGGAATTGAAGATATTGAAGCAGGGGAGGGAGAAGTTCAGTGGAGATAACCCGGGGCCTCAAAATGTGCCGTGCCAGGCTCCGAATGGGAGGAACTTTGACCAAAGCAGGGCGCCCCAAATTGTGAAAAGATGCATCCACTCCTGATTCAAACTCTTTGGGCCCTCCACTGCCACCACTGACAAGTGCCAAATATCTAGATTCTTACATCACTCCTACCTCTTCCTCCAAACCCGGATGTCAACTTCCGGTGTTCTCAGGCATCGTCCACCTCCAAGTCCCTTGCCCGCCTTTTCCGTCATCCTCTTATCTCACAACGATTCAAACTGACCTTTTATTCTGAAGTTGTTCAATCCATCCTACTACATGGCTCTGCATCCCAGGTTTATTCTCCAGCGCAGATCGCCAAAATTGAAGCACTTAGACAAATCTTTCACATCAAAAGCCCATATTACCATCGGGTTCTTTCGCGCACCGATTTTCCGTGTTCCAATGCAAATGAAATTACTTACCATCTCTCTCGTACCAGGTTCTTCCATCTTGTATTCCTTCTTCTATGCGCATCTCCGGCTCCCGCATCAAATACATTCTCCGCCATCCTGACAGTCCAGAATCCCATATTATGAGCGGAATCGGCACACCGAGCCCATATCCTTCGCCAGTCACCTCTTCTTCTTGGTCACTTCATTCATTCCTTTTATCACCATGTCACAATTGCCGAACCCAAACAGTTCTCTTCAACCAGCATGAAGCAATGGTATGATATTGCCAGATTCTTACATCTCCTTCCACCAATTACAGAAAACAGAGAACAATGGCTTTGGCTTACCAAAGCGAAATAAGTAACCAGCTTAGGGTGCGCTGCTGCGGGCGTGTTGTGAAAAAAAACAAATCACCAGAACAAATCCATTGATGCTCCCAGGTCCCGGGCCGCTTCGCGGTGTTTGCTTCACCTGGTCCGGTGGAGGCGGGGGAAACATATGGAAAACATAAAACAACCATAAACAATTTAAACAACCTATATATACAGAAATCTATAGACATTGTAGATCTACAACCATCCTGGAGAACCAGCCTGGTGCTGGAAGATTCTGGGAAAATCCAGAAACGGAACAGGACGATGCAGTGGAGGCCCACAAGGCCCTTCGGTTGCCATGGCGGGGTGAGAAAGATCTAAGTACTCCCATCCCCTAAGTGTCTTAGTGTTCTAGTAATGGTCCCAAATATGTGTTTGTGCCCCCTACTCAACCATGTTTTTTTTTGGCTGTTTCATAGGGGGATCCTATCATCCCAGGAGCTAGTTGGCACATTTGGCACAAATCATGGCAGGCTACTTGCAAAAATTGTATGTGCTTCACACCACAAGTTTGAACATTTTTGCAAGACTGTTGGATCGCGCCCATGCAGATTTCTTGGAACGCATTTTGGTGTTCATTTTTAACCGAACGTAACTGGGCCAAGGTGGTGGGCATTGCATCCATGTCCCTGTCATTCTCGTCAATTGATGACGGGAAGGCGCACTGGTGGGGTGGCTCAATAGCTCAGTTCTTATGGCCGCAAAGGGCGGCAATGAAAGTTGAAGGAAAGAGGCCACCTGAGAGAATCTGCACTTTGGGAGTGGCAATTTCTTGGTTCCAATGTTCAACTGCATGGCCAGGAACTTGTTTAATTCAGCATAATTAACTTGCAAGCACCTTTGTGACATTGTCTTCCATGGAGCTCCAGAACGAACGCTGCCATTTTTTGAGCCCTGCCCTGCAGCCATATTCAGCTTCGACCTCATCCAACTCTTCCCATCAGCCCATCTATCCCTGGTATGGCAGGGCGAATTTTGATCATCTTCGACGGAACGCGTGGAGATACCCAGCCGTATCTCCTGGCAGCAAAGGCTCTCATGAAAGCGGACTTCGATGTGATGGTCACCGGGCCAGGCGATGCCGGCCGAATGGCGCAGGAGTTTCAAGTTCCTTTTACTCGGAGCCGCCTGAGCGCCCAGAAGGTGTGACAGCATGAAAATCCCGGATCCAATTCACTTGGCCAAAAATGCTAGTTAGTGTGGAATGTATTCGAGTGGAGCCACGGTGGAGCTGGTCATTTTGGCCGTCAAATTTGGGGGATCAATTTGACTAAATGTCGGCCGCAGTCATGAAGATTTGTGCATTTTGTTCTAAGCAGGGGTGACCGAATTGGCAATGTCAAGCCTGTCAGCAGTTGAGTGGGGTCGTATGTGTGCGGGTGTCTGTTGCTCCTATGATGTATGAAATTGATCATGATTGACCGCGTAACTCAGCGCAAGGAGATGAATGTTTAAGTTCCGGTTCCATGTGGTATTTTGTCAGGGCGAAATCCTAATTTTTTCCTAGCCGGCTTCAGCCCAAACAGGTGTTTGCAGACCCAGAGATGGCAAAGGAGTTTGCAACAGATGATGTGACAAAAGTGCTGGCGTCGATGGACAAGAAGAAAGACGAATTTCTCACAGAGTCAAGCAGGGAAAAGGACCTTGAAGCCTTGTGTACATTGATTCAAGAGTGGAAACCTGACTTGATTTTGGCCGGCGTGGTGTTGCTGGCTCTGGTGATCATGGTCAGCAAGGTTCACAGAGTTCCAGTGGTGAGCTTCACGCTTGCACACGGGAGGGTGTGCAAGTCGTTGAAGCCGATGTATATGCCCGACTGGCTTCCAAAATTCATGTGGTGGCAGCTTTGGCGTTTTTTGGTCTTTGCAATGGCCAGGTCAGAGTTCAAGCAACTTGTTGGTTGTTTCCAGCAATTTTTTGAAGTTGCAATGCACAAAAACTGGGAGCTGACCCTAGTTGGCTCCTACCTAGGAACTGTTTTCGATTGTGCTCCCAGCTTAGATGTGAATTTCGGTTGTGACAGTTGAACGGGTATACTATGTTGTAGAACTTGGTTTGGTAATATATTGATTCCTTAATGGCGAATTATTGGTCCCGTGATCGGCGAATTCTTGATCCTTTGCTGAGTTTTTGACCCTGTAATGGGCGAATTGGCCTCCAAATTGGAAATTTTTGACGCCCATTTTTCCGTAATTACGGAGGCACAAATTTCAAACGGGCCCCTCTTTTTAAAATTTTCCGGTTCTCTTTTGAAACTTTCTTTTTCCCCACATCTTTGTGTGGGGTTCTTGTTTTTGATTTTGTATCCCGCCTCCTCCGCCTCCTCCTCCTCCGCCGAATCCGCCTCCATCTCACTCACACAACTTTGTCACACACCCTCTTTGACACACAACTTTGTCACCCACAACTTTGTCACACACCATCTTTCACACACACGCACACACACACACCTTCTTTGACACACCCTCTTTCACCCAATCTTTCACACACAACTTTGTCACAAACCCTCTTTGACACACAACTTTGTCACCCACAACTTTGTCACCCACAACTTTGTCATACACCATCTTTCACACCATCTTTGTCGCACACCTTCTTTGACACACCATCTTTCACACACAACTTTGTCACACACCATCTTTCCATCTTTCACACACAGCTTTGTCGCACACCATCTTTCACACACAACTTTGTCACACACCATCTTTGTCGCACACCTTCTTTGACACACCATCTTTCACACACACACACAACTTTGTCGCACACCATCTTTCACACACAACTTTGTCACACACCATCTTTCGCACAACTTTGTCACACACCCTCTTTGACACAACTTTGTCACCCGCAACTTTGTCACACACCATCTGTGACCTTCGTTTCTCGTAGCTGGCGTGGCACTTGCGGCACTGGGCTGGCTCTGGTGGCGCGCTTTGGTCGCCGGTGACGCCGTGGTACTTTGGGTGGCAGGCGTGGCGCTTGGTGCCATCCACCTTCGTTTCACGTGGCAGGCGTGGCACTTGGCGACATCTTTCGTTTCACGTGGCTGGCGTGGCACTTGGCGACTACCTTCGTTTTGCGTGGCAGGCGTGGCACTTGCGGCACTGGGCTGGCCCTTGTGGCAGGCGGCGCTTGGTGACATCTACCGTTGTTTTGCGTGGCAGGCGTGGCACTTGCGGCACTGGGCTGGATCTGGTGGCGCGCTTGGGCGCGCTTTAGTCGCCGGTGACGCCGCGGTACTTTGCGTGGCAGGCGTGGCGCTTGGCGCCATCCACTTTCGTTTCGCATGGCAGGCGCGGCACTTGGTGACATCTACCTTCGTTTTGCGTGGCAGGCCTGGCGGTTGCGGCACTGGGCTGGCTCTGGTGGCGCGCTTGGGCGACATCTACCTTCGTTTTGCGTGGCAGGCGTGGCACTTGCGGCGCTGGGCTGGCTCTGGTGGCGCGCTTGGGCGCGCTTTGGTCGCCGGTGACGGCTTGGTACTTTGCGTGGCAGGCATGGCACTTGGCGACATCTTTCGTTTCACGTGGCTGGCGTGGCACTTGGCGACATCTACCTTGTTTTGCGTGGCAGGCGTGGCACTTGCGGCACTGGGCTGGCTCTGGTGGCGCGCTTGTGTGCGCTTTGGTCGCCGGTGACTTGCAACCTGAAACTGGGAAAGCGGACGTTGTCCGAACTTCGTGCTGATGAGTTTAGGCCAACCTATAACATTCATGTGCTGGTGTCTTCAGATGAGCAGAGACGGGCTTTACGTGCGAAGTTGCTTTATGATCCAGTTTATCTTCGTGTGCCTGTGGTGGAAGACGGCAAGGTCTCTCCCTGGAAGAAGCCGGCTTTCTGGGAAATCTGCGATGCTATTCAGCTTGCTAGCGTATAAATTCATATTCGCAAGCTTTCTTTCCTGTTTTGGCTGCGCACATTGTTGATCCACCGTGGAAAGACACGCGTGGTTACACTCAGTTCATGAAGGCTCGTGTCATGTCTCGATTTTGACCCACCGTGGGAAGAAATCAGGTATGCTTTGTAAAGATTTGCGCTGCTTGAAGCTGTACCGGCACGTTTGGAGTTTGATGATGCGCAAAGATCAAAAAGCGATGATGTCTTTGCTGTGCGGTCGACCACTTTCTTTGCATGTTGCTCGCGTTGCTGCCAGGCACCTGCTGGATGAGGGTGGCATCGTTCTTATGACGGTGACTGAAATTCCTTGAGGGCAAGATATGGTTCTGTTTGAATGTTTGAAATGTGAATGTACATGTCCTTGAGTATGGTGCATCAAATGGTGTGATGCAGTGTGTGAAGAACCATTTGATGCCGTGAAAAAATGTTTGTGTGTGTGTTTCTGAGTATGGTACAACAAATGGTTTGACACAATGTGTGAAGAATCGTTTGTTGCCGTGAAAAAATATCTTCGCCAGCAAGGAGTGCGCAGTAGCTTCGGCAGTGCGATGTTGTCAAGTCTTTTCTGTTTGGAGTTACTTACGCCCTTTAGAGCATGGGTTGATGCAACGTGCGACGTTTCATTTCTATTGTCATGTTAGGATTTTTGGTGACATTGGGGACTTGGCAATGCTTGTGTCATCCGCGTGTGACACTTGCGTGTGGAGATTGCTGGCCGGAGCCGACTGTATCGCACAGTGATGTCTTTCCTATGCTTCGTGCAAAAGGGCCCTCTCTTTGCAACACACCATCTTTCACAGCACAACTTTGTCACACACCATCTTCACCACCCCATGTTTCACACACACAACTTTGTCAAACACCATCTTTCGCCACACCATCTTTCACGCACCACTTTGACACACACCATCTTTCACACACAACTTTGTCACACGCTCTCTTTCACACACCATCTTTCACCACACCATCTTTCACACACCACTTTGTCAAACACCATCTTTCACCACACCATCTTTCACACACAGCTTTGTCTCACACCATCTTTCTCCACACCATCTTTCACACGCTACTTTGGCACACACCATCTTTCACACACCGTCACAGACCATGTTTCACACACCTTCTTTCACACATCCTCTTTCACACACACACAGCTTTGTCATACACCATCTTTCACCACACCATCTTTCACACAACTTTGTCACACACCGTCTTTTGCCACACCATCTTTCACACACCACTTTGACACACACACACACACGCACACCATCTTTCACACACAACTTTGTCACACGCTCTCTTTCACACACAGCTTTCACACAGACCATCTTTCACACACAGCTTTGTCACACACACACACCATCTTTCTTTGTCACACACCATCTTTCACAGACAACTTTGTCACACACAACTTTTTTTACTTTTCGATCCTCCACCACCTCCTTTGTCTTTCCCGTCCCCGCTACAACATTTGTTGCTCATAATTGGAAGAAGTTGACTTGTGGGGTTGTCCGGTCCTTTCATTTTACCTGGGAAACTCTTTTTTCTAACCTTGCCTCGCTACCTCTCTTTTCTAACCTTGCTGGACTCTTTTTTCTAACCTGGCACCTCCTTTTTTGTTTGGCATTTTGCCCAGCAAGCCCAGCTCCGGGGTTTGAGCCCAGAGCAAGGTTAAAATGCGGCTGGCTGGTTCGGAGTTTCTGGAAGGTTCTGAACGGTTCCGGGAGATTTAGGAGGTTCTGTGTTCTGGCGGTTCCGGTGAGGTTTTGGCGTGGTGGTGGTGGTAAAGTATCCTATCTATCCTATCTATCGCATCTATCCTGTCCTATATCCTGTCCTATATCCTGCCCTATCCTGTCCTATTCTGCCCTGTTCTGTCCTATCTCATCCTATTTCATCCTATCTCATCCTTTCTATTTCATGCTATCTCATCCGATCTCATCGTTTCTCGTCCTATCTCATCCTATCTTATCCTGTGTCATCCTATCTATATAAACCTATCTCACCCTCTTACCCTATCTCATCCTACCTCAGCCTATCTCACTATCTCATCCTATCTATCCAACCTACTGTCTATCCTACCTCACCTTATCCTATCCTATCCTAATCCTATCCCATCCTATCTGTCCTATCTGTCCTATCTATCCTATCTATGCTTTCTATCCTATCTCATCCTATCTGTCCCAATACAACAACACACCACGCGCACCCGACACATTCCGCACTTTCCACGCACTCTACACACCTTCACACTGATTCCGGCGCCGCCCTGCACACTCTACATGCTACACTGCAAGCTTTTAAACTCGACACCATGCTTCCCACTCTACAATCTTTGCCCCAGACTCCACACACTACAATTTACATCTCACACTCCACACACTCCAACATCTCCAACACTCCACCTTCTAAAAGCTGCACTTCATGCTCCCTACAGTGAATTTTTTCATTCGACACCCGGCACACACCCGGCACGCTCTCCACACCGTTTGCACCCTCCACATGCTATTTACACACCTCACGCTCCGCAAACTCTACGCCCCGCAATCTACACTTCACATTGCGCACTCCAACGCGCCACCCTCCACACTCCACGTTCGACACTCGCAACTTCACACTCCACATTCCCCACTCCACACAAACTTTAGTTGCTCTGTACAATTTCACGCCAGGCACCCTGTTGGTTGTAAATGCACCTCAACACACCACACTCTGGAGTTGACACCACTGCGCACCCCACACTCAAGATGCTACATTGCACACTTTACACTCCCCACTCGACATTTCAGACTCCACACTGCCAACTGCACCGTCCACATGTCACAATGCATTCCTACACGCTCCACGCTCCACGCACCACCCTCCACACCCCACAGTCCACACTTAAGTTTGCAACGCGCAGCACATTTTCCAAAGTCTTCCGCATTCCACCTCAGCCAACAAACTCCACACTCCATACTTTATGAGCCCCGCTTCAAACTCAACAGTCGGCACTCAACACTCTACCGTCCACACACACCAACCTTCGCACTTCAAACCACATGCGCATCGCACGGCTTCCCAGTCTACACGCTACTACACTTCACACTCTGTACGCTGCGCACTCTGCTCTCTACTTAGCACCCTCCACAATCTACACCCTACTCCTCGCACGCAATTCACTTGAGTCCACACTGCAAACCCGACGCTCCACGCCCCACACGCTCCTCACTCCACAATCTCTACACGAGTTGCACGCTGCTCTATACTCACCACGGTCCAGACGTGACCCTCTAAACTCAACTCTTCACACTGAAAACTTTAAACTCTACACTGCAGACTCCACACCGCACACAATATACACCCACACTTCACATTCAATACTCTACACACCTCACACGCAACCCTCCGCGAACACTCTACACTCCAAATTTTAGATTTCTCACTTTCCACAAAACACATTCCACACACCTGGCGCTCCCAAATCTATATGTCACACACAACACTGCAGACTCTACGTTTCACAACCTACGCGCTCCACCCTCTACAACCCGGCGGGACGCTTTACACCCGGCACTCCACATTCTACACAGCGCATTCAAACTTGCACTCCAGACGCCACCCTCCGCACTTCACATTCTATATTTCACACAGCATCCCACTCTACGCCCCACTACAAAGCACCCTCCAATATCTACACACTACACTTTGGAGACCATTCTCTCGACCGTCGACAATCCACACTCCACACTGCAAACTTTCTATGCCTGGTCCTGCAACCTCCCACACTCTCTAGACACGCTACACCTTGCGCGACACACGCTGCAATCCAGACGTGACCTTCAAAAATCCACATCGACACTTTAGACTGCAAATTCTACACTCCACGCTGCAAACTCCACACCTCACATTATGCACTAAGCACTCCACACTTCACATTCAATAGCCTACAAATGCCTACACCACCATACACGCTCCACACGCTACAGTTTACGCCAAAGACATTTTACCTACATACCCAGCGCTGCGTTTCACATTCTACACACCCAGCACTACAACTTCACACCATACACGGCAAACTTCGCACGCCACACCCTGCAAACTCCACTCGCCAGTTGCCACACTCCACCCATTCCCCGCATTGCACAAACTTTGCACACTCAAACTAGCAGCTTCCCACTCTAGAAACTACATGACACTCCTACACTTCACGCGTTTGCACCCTGCAGACCCCACACAGCACCATGCACGCCCCACATTCTACACTACTCGACAGTCCAGACTCGACAGGTCCCATTCTCATTACACTGCAAACTCTGCAACCTCGGCACTCCACATTCTACACACTCCAGAGCCCACGTGCACAGAGAAAAGGTGGAAGATGGTGCAAGGTTCAAATCAGTGGGCCAAGGGTAAAAAAAGAGTAGGCCAAGGTTAAAGAAAGAGCAGGCCAAAGTTTAAAAAAGTAATCCAAGGTCAAAAAAAGGCAGGGTTAAAATTTCAAATTGCATGGTCAAACATTTTACAGAGTATCAGTTCGTCCGGTAGGAGTTTTTGTCCGCGTTTTTTTGTGGGTGTATATTTTGATCCCGAAAATGGATTTACATGGGGAATTTTGTCCCCGCAATGAGGGTGTCAAAGATTCGTTGCGGTCAACACTTACCACTTTGGGAATTTGCAATTTATTCCTTGCGACCCAAATCCACAAACTACATTAAATTACAAGGTTCAAAATTCCAAAATTTTGGGGCCAACAATTCACCAGTTGCGGGGCCAACAATTCACCAATTATGAGGTTAAAATATTGCCAATTGGGAAATCAATTCTTAAAAGAAAAATGGTTGGGCAAAAAGTTTCAACTTGGTGGCCAAAAAATTGACAAACTATATATAAGGTAACAAATTCAACAATTATGTGCGTGGTCAGCAATTTAAAGAGCACGTGGTAGAGCGCATGTTCAAATGCAATTTTTGGCATTTCAGATATCTGAAATCCTGCTCAGGTTGCTGGGTGGGCTTGGGTGTCATCCAATTTGTTCACTTGCTGTGAATCTTGGGGATCGGGGACTTATTTGCCAGGGGCGGTACTAGCCAGTTATATAATGATACACAAACACAAATGCATGAGGAGCAAGGCTAGTAAGGGCGCATAGAGACAGATATAGGAAATTTCAACATAGCCATAAGGAGGCGAGGGAGACAAATGAAATCGTGGCAAAGGAAATCTTCCATCCAAAGGCAGCCGGAGACAGATGGAAAGTGAAGTAGGGAGGCAAGGGGGAAGGGAGGCATAGGCAAGCCATGGCGCTTGCCCACTAGTCCCGACAGTCTTCCTATGTCCTGTTTTCATACAGGGATCCAACGGGGGATAGGTCCGGGATAGGGCAATCTTCGCCAGATCACCAAGGCAGTCGGGCCCCACTCTGAGCAAACTCCTGGGCGTCCCAATGGCGCAGCTCCGCTGCACTGCCAACGAGATGAGTCGCTATTTTTCAGCCAACGCCACTTTCCTCAGCATCATTGCCACCAGCCCAGCGGTCCATGGCGATCTCCCGCAGGACTTCAATGGCAATAATGTGCAGATAGGCCGGACAAATAAGGGGATAAGAGTTGCCTCTGTTGGAGATTGGAAACGGTTTGTTGATGCTAACTATTGAAATGATCTTAATAAGCTAGGATTCGGTTTATGTCTATCTGACAGCCGCAGGCTGAGTCCAGATCAGATCAGGGAATTATTTTTGGAAAACAGTCGCCCGGTGCTTTAGTTGTGCGCTGTATTGTTTACTGGGTTCAAGCTCTCGCTCAAACCCTTTTCTTTTCTTCCATTTGTTTTATCGTTTTTCTCAATTTCGGTCATTTTTCTCCTTTTGTCTATAGTATTTTTGACGGGACATTGCCAAAATGATCTTTCGTTCCAACCTTTTTTTTCCCCTTGTTAATCTTATCTTTCATTTTCGTTTTCATTTTCTTTTGCTTCATGTTTGCGTTCTTATACATGTCTTTTCTCGTTTTCATGTTTCATTTGGATTTCAATTATTTTTCTCGATTTCATTTTTTCATTTGGATTTTCATTATATACCTTCTTTTGGTTTTCTTTTGGATGCTGGCCACCTGCCCTCATTTTCCCGTCTTGGTGCCAGTGATCCGTTTCCATTTCTTTCTGCTATATTCAGCTGGGCTTTGCCATCATGATGGACAGGCTGCCGCCCAGATGACAGGATATTCAGAATGAAAAACACATGCCCAAGGAGGATAGATTCGGAATGAGAAAAGGTGAGCATGGTCCACCGGGAAAAACGGGAATAGTATGGAATAGAAATGTTTGATTCTCCGAAAAGAAAGTACGGAAACCTAAGCAATGCAATTGGCAGCAACATCATGTCCAAAAGGCGTGCTTTTGGTTTAATGATCATTTAATTTAATGATCATTTAATGATCATTTTCCGTGTGTTTTTAGGGGGTGAAGCACCAACTGCTGCTATTGCAGGTGCTTTGATGATGCCTTTGGCGGAAGAGCAGGGCATCAGCAGCTTTGGATCTGAAGAGGTGCAGGCGATGCAGGACTTGGATCTCCGAGTTTGTCCAAGATTTTCGGTCATTTTTTGGTGGGAGAATGTGGGAGAATGGGATGATCATGTGGGATATAGTGGGATTATATTGGGAGGTTTTTTCATGGGTCTTTTCGGTTGTTTCTGGAAAAATCCCTTGCAGTTCAAATTGACATATCCAACAAAAGTGTGGTTTAGTATTGGATCTATTCATGACCCGCTCAGGCCGGTTAAGGGAGTATCTAATATTAGGAGGATGGGACAAAACTATACAAAACTAGGATTGTGATTTACATTGCTGTAGCTTTTCGGGGCGCCACAAGAATCATCAAGGGAATCCCGTGCGCAGCTAAAGACTTCTTTCCGCAAAAAGTGTGTCCGCACAACATATGGGATTCTTACCGTAATGGCCGCAATGGTTAAGGCCGGGTTTATCCAGGGTTCATGCCTGCGTGTCCAGCCATTTTGTTGACCATTTCGGTGCAAAAAAAACATTCCCTTCTGAAGGAAGCCTCACACGAAAACTGGGCTTGGAAAGTTCTCTTGTGGAGGTGCGTTCTCGCCTGCGTGCCGTGTCCGATTTTTGATCCCTGCGCGTTTTTTTTTGGGTGTTGCAGGCGCCAGAGATTCGGCACTCTTGGAAGGTCAGACTGATTTTTCGTGTAACAGGTGCAAGACTTCAGGCACTTTTTCACTTGCGTGGCAGGCGCAGTACTTCGTACGTGTTCCCGCACGCGTGGGTCGAAGTGAGGCCCTCATGAGAAGATGATCTTGTGGAGGTCCTGGTGAAAGCCTCTAAGGGTCCAAGAGGTTTGTTTATTGACTTTTTTGTTGAAATCTCGTCAGCGATGTTTGTATGAAGGCTATTGTGCGATGCTCTTGGAGGTTCTTGTATGAATAAAGACCTGCAGGCTCTTGCCAAATGTCTTTCTATGAAAATCTTGTGAGACTACTCAAGAAGGCGCAGGAAGATCTTGATCAAGATCTTGTAGAGGTTCTTGTGAGAAGATCTTCTGGAGATCGTGATGAAATCAATCAATCTCCAGAGAAGCTTTTCCATGAAGACCTTGAAGATATCGTCGATCTTGCTAGCTGTGCTTGTATGAGAACTTTTGTGGGATGCTCGTAGGAGGTTTCTGTACAATTACATCTCTTGCACGATCTTCTTCCCAGCTTCTGAGATTCTTGGAGGTCCCGGTATGAAGAAACTGGCCAAGATCACAGACTGTGAGAAGATCTTGCTGAGATCCTGGCGAGGTGCCCTAGGGTCCTTCTACGAAGATCTTGACATCGCGTTCGAGGTTCATGTACGGAAACTATGATGGTGATGCTCTTACGAGTTCTGAAAAGCATGCAATGCTGCTGAACAAGTGTAGGAAGTTGCAGTAGGGTTGGAGGGTGGGAGAGGGCCAGCTTGTGGCCAATTTTGGCTCAAGTTGGCTCCCTCTTTTTGAGTGGTGGTCGCTCTTTGCAAAGGAGTGGCCATCACGAGTAGCCTGTGGCTGCCTTATTTGGGCCGTGGGACTCTTTGAGCCGATTTGGCGCTCCTTTGAAGCTCAGATAGGAAGCCCGGGAGCAGACTTACCACTTACGTCTCCTGGCAGCGCTGCCGAAAGTAGCTGTCATCACTGGATGCGGAGGCGCAGGCACCCCTGAAGGACCTTTGAATCTCATCCAGGCTACTCAGGTGGGGTTAGTTTGGCGTATGGCCAGACGTATCATGGCAGCAGCCTCCCGGGTAGACGAGACAAACTTCGTGGACGTGGACCCTTGGTTGGAAGCTTCAAGCACCAGTGCAGGAGGTACAGGTCCACCTAGGCCAGCTAGTGGGTCGGTGAGGGAAAGAGTCTTAAAGATGAATTCCTTCATTGACCAGCAGGATGAATCAGTATTACTAGCCCCATCAGCTGCAGAGGTGCATAGGTGGTATCAAAACTACATCATAACCATAGGTTCGTAGCCAGACGAGGCAGAGGAGCCCCTCTTGTGGCATCGCAGCTGGCTGCACTTCACAAGAGGGTCTTCGTGGAGAACAGGCCATCGTATACCGATTTTTCGGTTTGGACATGATTCGAGAGGCGAATGAGCCGAGTGCAGAAGTGCCGCGTGTACACTCCATGAGGAGATGGCACTTACCTTCAGCGAGACCTACCAGTTCCAAGCAGCTACACTGCTTGGAAAGCGTCGTGGAACGTTTTCAAAGCAGCATGCCTGATGCTGAACATTGTTCGATTGCGTCATTGGAGGCGTACGCCAAGCAGGTGGAGAAACTGACGACGCAGTGGCCACGCTGCTGGGGGTTGATATACCTCGCTCATGATTCTGGCCGTGCTGAACGACTCGAAAAGATCCGCAGGAAACTCACCATATAGAGTCAGCTCAGAATCGACAGGTGCCGAGGATTAATGGGACCCCGTCCGTGGTCTTGCGTGTTCGTGCAGTTGGCCATGGACTCCGAATTCTGGGCAGAAAGAGTTCATCACCTTGCCGCAGCATGGACGGCATCCGGAGGTAAAGGAGCTCCTTGCATTGCCACTGCAGCTGCAGATGCCATCCAGGGAGCACTTGGGCATGAGCAGGAACTTGGCCAAGGAACCTCTGATTCGAGGAGGATTCAGGCGAACAGAGATGGGCGACAGGCCAAGAAGAGACAGACGCTTGGCGTCAGAACACGAAAAGCTAGCTCGTCACAGAGCTTCAGCCCGTTCCTCTTCAGGCAAAGGAGCTGGAGGTGGAAAAGGGAGGGGCAAAGGAAAATCCAAAGACCAATCAGGTCTGGAGCTCTGCTACAGCTGGGCGTCAGGGAAAGGACATTGTGCAGATGTGGCCCCGGAGGGGAGTGTAAGGGGCCGGTTAAGCGGATCCATAAGTGCCGCATTGTCTTCCACCATCGCAGAAGGATGCGGGTTGCAGGTCTGGATGAACCTTGGGACTGGCAAAAAAAGGTGCATGCTGATCTGCTCTTGGCGGGGTCTTCAGCTTGGGGTTCAGATCATGTGCAAAATGTGTTTCATAAGTTCATAAGAAGTTTATTTTGGAGTTTGGTTGAAGGTCGCAGGGCAGTTGTAGCCGTCAACGCACTTGGTTTCAGAGTGGAGTGCATTGCAACAGGTTGCAGCTTTTGTGTTGGATTGCAAGGGGCGTCACTCTTGGGAAATCTGACTGTAGTGTGCCCCGCAACTTTGGCTTAGCATTTCCCCCCCTGCCAACGTGGAGGGATACGATAGCTCTGATGGGGTCGTCGCCAGATTTTGAAGGCGATGATCCGGAAGCTGTGGAGCCTGTGAAGGCCGAGGCAGCAGGTCAAGTGCAAGCCAAATCTGAAGCTGGAGATAAAGAGGCACATGGCAGTCCAAAGGAAGTGAAAGAAAAGGTCGGCTCCCCCCCAGCGTGAAAACACCGGACCCTCAGAGAGCGTCGGCACCAGAGGCTTCTGCAGACACATCCAAAGGAGTTGGATGAAAGCGAGAGCAGGTGGATCCCCAAGGGAAGCAGATCTCACTCTCAGTCCGAGGTGGGGTTGACTTGCAGGACGCGTTTTGTCACTTCAGTGTCCATCCTGATGAACTACGACATTGCATCAGCCCAGGATTAGAAAGTGGCACCGGAATCCTTTGGGTGGCGATGTTGTTTGGCTTCAAGGCAGCACCACTCGTTATGGGCCGCTTGAGCGCAGCCGTCGAGTGGCTGGTGCAGTCGTTGTTCCACCCAGCTTCAGGACAAGTCCAAGTCTGCATAGACGACGTGGAGCCCGGAACTGCGCAACCTGCAGTTAGCGAAGGTGCTGTACGTCATGGCAGCGTTTGGAGTCTAAGTTGCCCTTCCCAAAGGAGAGCGGGGCAGATCCGTGACTTGGATTGGCACAACGTTCGAGCTCCATCGACATGAGCTGGTCATGGGCACATCGAAGAGGTAAAGGACACACTGGGGAGCTGGGAAGGCAAAGGCATGGCGGCGACAAAGGAGCTCAGGGCGTTCCTCGGAAGGTTGTCATGGATCGCAGGTAATCGTCCCAAGACTGAGGTGGACGGTGACAGCCATGTACGCGGTTCTCACCAGCGTGCTGCAGGAAGAAGACGCGCCAAAACAGACGTGGAGACACACGTTCAAAGCATGGACTTTTTGCGGTCAAGCGTCTGGGCACAGCTATGCCTTGGCTGAAGGCGGCTTTCGAGACACCAGAGACCATGTTGATCAGAAGGGAGCCGCTTCTGGAACAAGAGCCGACGTGGTGTTGTCACAGACGCTTCACCCGGCGGAGTTGGGGGTGTACTTAGCCACCGAGTACATTGTGGAGGCTTTTGAGGCACCGGTGCAACCCCACCAGGCAACGGCACTGGAAATTGAGTTCAACAAGCCTGGAAGGGTTAGGAGTCCTTTGAGCATTGCAAATTTGGAGCCTAAAGCTGCAAGAAGGGCCAGTGATCATCAGGTCCGATAGCGCAGTAGCGTGCGCTATGGCCAAGCAATTGAAGTCACCCACCAAGCCGCCAAGCCGTTGAACTATCTTGCAACGGACTTTGCGCTGCTGCTTGAGAGAGCAAGGATTCCGAGGTTGCTCCACAACACGTGCAAGGGAAATTAAACCTGGAAGCGGACTGGCTCGAGGCTCACCAGCCGAGGGCCGATGCCAGCCAACCTCGTGGGCGTCAAACTCAGACGGACGACAGCCCTATCTGAGAGGAGCATGATTATGGCACCACCTGCAACTCCGGGCAGCCCGTGGGCGCAACAGATGGTGCAGCCGGTGGGCGGCTTTGAAAGCTTGTGATGCAGCCGGAAAAAGTAGGCTGTGACAGAATGCTGCGTCAGACAGGGGTCATACACAACACGCATGCAGGCACATATGCATCTTCACATACGATACACTTTCTGCAGCTCTTTTTCAGGTTCAATGATGGAGGTCGCTCTTGTCCCTCCACCGGTTCCTTTTAGCGTGGTGCCACAGGCGCATATCCCCGCTGAAAATTAGGGAGCATGGATTTTCCTCGCGCTGGTCTTCATGTGCGGAATGTTATTTCAAGCATGTGTGCCGCGGCTTTGCCACCTGGGATGGATATGGGGCGGCAAGGTGAAGGCATGCATACAGGGATGGCAGCGCTGGTGGCATCGTGCAATGGGAAACCACCAGAGAGAAAGGAGCCCCGGAACACCACTCCGAAATTGGATACTAAGGCATGGGACTCCTACGGCCACCAGCTTGGCTCAGTTTGACAGAGATAAGAGCTCCAGACACATCGGTGCCAAGCTCCTCCAGTCGCAGACCGGTCTCTTCACTTTGGGGCCCAGCAATGCCAAGGTCGAGAAGGCCAACGACAGGCTCCTACAGCCATCAGCAGCGAGCAAGCGACACCACAACAACGATGGGGGCGATGATCGCGGCCGCAAGACCTCGAAGGTGAGCCACAGGGATCAATCTTTGCAAGAGTGCGAGAGCAAGGCAAAAGTTCCCCTGAAGCTGGCAGGCGGCATGGCGCGAGACAAAACTTGGCCGGGGAAAGCCAGAAAGGCCTTCATAAAGAAGTTTTACTCACCCTGCACCCTGGCGACCAAGAGCGCCAAGAAACGCAAGGTGGCAGAGATCTTGGAAGGACTAGGAGGAGAGCCCTTCCCAGTGATGGTGGAGAGCGTGACGAGTCTAGCCACGGTACTGGATTCCACGGGCATGAAAGCGGGAGATCAGTATCTAGCAGAAGCCGAGGCCAATGCAATGTGACAAGGGACCTGAAACCCTAGCTCCAGAGGTGAGGATTAGAGACATACAAGAGCACGAGTGGAACAGGTCGAACGAAACGAAGGGAGAACCCAAGAGGGTTGCCTGGTCGTTCTCATGGGCGTCGGTTTGGATGCTGAGGGCCATTGAAGCCTCACAAGTGTCAGTGGGCGGTAAAACCGGATGACAAGACTGTGAGGCTTCTCATCAAGAAGTCCAAGACGGATCAGAAGGCTCAGGGCACCTGGAGAAAGAACGTTGGGGTGTTGCGCCATGCCACAACATGCTCAAGGGATTGCGCCTGCAACTTAGCATTCTTGGCGAGATGTCGAAGGAAGGCCACCCAACACCCCTCTCTTCCCGGATGCCGAAGGTATATAACTTGGTGACAAAGCTCCACATGGTGACGGCGTGGACTAATCATCTGGATGAGAGGGCCACGGGCCATTCAGCGAGAAGGTCGGGCGCAATGGCATATGCAAGAAAAGGAATGCCAATTCAGTCAATCCAACTCCTGGGCCAATGGAAGTCGTCGGCCGTCTTCAGGTACGTGGAGGACGCGATGACTGAAGTACGGGAGCCCCTGGCACCGAGCAGGAAGCGGATTACCACAAGCGCAAGTCGCTCAGGCCGAAACGGGAAGCATCCCCGAAACGATCTACAGAAGCAGCACAGCAAGTTCAGGCGAAAGAGAAGCCCATCGTGAATGAAGCGGACAAGGAAAAGGTATACGCTGTCCAACTCCAGAGCAAAGTGGACGAAGCATTTGGTGGGGCAGGCAGCGTAGGGCATCCCACTGGACAGCTGGGCCATGGTTTGTGGATGGAACTTCGCGAAGCGAAATGTCAAGGTGGAACTCACTCAGCATCCCACCAAAGCTGCAGCTCCGTGCAAAAAGTGGTTCAAGCTTCACGAGGGGCGCGACGGAGTCAAAGGAGCCAGGGAATGGGGGCCAAATATGGATCTATGAGTCCTCAATCGAAGGACAAGAAAGATTGGAGGTTTGGGAAAGATTCAGACACAGTCTGAAGCACAGCTGCTGTTAGCAGACAAGACCTACCATCCTGCCAAAAAGGATGCCTGTCCGCTATGGAGGGAGGGTGTGCATGAGACTTGCAACAAACGCAACTCGTCTGAAAAAAGATATGTACGATCCTCTAGTGGTGCTCTTAGGAGGGTTTTGCATAAGATCTTGTACGATCCGCTAGTGGGTCCTTCTATGATGACTTTGTGATATTCTCTTAGAGGTCCTGGTATGAAGATTTTGTAGAGGTTTTGCCAGTGCTTTGTATCAGCAGATATTCTTCTCAACGCTGTCTGAGGTCTCTTGCCAAGAGATTTTTTTTTAATTCAAGGTATTGAAGATGTGCCATGGTTATCAGGGGCTGTCCCATCTGCCCGCCATGGATGATGAACCAACGATGCATATGGAGTGCTTGTTGATTGATGCAGGAGTTCCTTGATTCCGGCAGTGCACCTGTCTACTTCGGTTTCGGATCAATTATCTGTCACACTTCGAAGTTCATGACCCTTCTGTGCTTGAGGGCTCTGAGACTCACCGGTGAGCGTGGCATCCTGTGCCGGGGGTGGAGCACCATGTGCTTGGACGATTTGCAGGGGGAGGTTGACGGTTTCAAAATGCGGGATGGGCTGCACGGAGCAGAGGTTTGATGCGCCTAGATCGGCCTCATAGTAAGCCCTAGTAAGTAAGCCGAAAAAAATAGAGAATCAATTTCAGGAGGATTTTGCATGTCTTTCATTTTGGGTCTTGCAATATCTGTTAGCAATCCATCTCTTTGGGTACTGGAATGAGGACCTTGGAGCTTCTTCAAGTATCTCCGCAAGCTTGGTTGACGATTGGTATTGTCGAAAAAAATTGGGGTCACATGGACATATATTTCAAACTAGTGGGGCGCCCAAGTCCTTCCAACGGTTTTCCAACGAACAAAAATAGGTGTAAGACCCGTTATTTGTGGCTGCAGCATTTCCTTAGAGGAAGCAAGTGATCCACCCTGGTAGGCGGATGAAGAGGATCTAAAGGCATATTGCCATGAGAAGGTTCTGTTCGTGGACAAGGCCCCACACGGCTGGCTCTTCCCGAAATGTCAGGCACGCCGTCACGGAGAAAACCTGTGCTTCCTGGGGTGATGGTGTTTCTATACAAAATCTACACGCCAAGATTGGAACGCTATTAGCAGTCATGAATATTGGATAAAACATTGCCCAGTAGTACCTGGCCATGCCGGGGCAGAAGATTCGATAACAGGGGCTATAAGAAAGCAAAAATACATGGGAAAAAGTTGCTGATTGACATCAATGTTTGGTTGGTTGGGTGACTGAAGGAAAAAGGGATTGAATGATTGAATGATTGATTGAATGATTGAAGCGCCGCTGAAAGAATGAGCTACCCGTCTCCACAGATCTACTCTGGGTTACTTTTTCCGTGAGCTCTTGCTTCTTTGGGCTACATCTTCTCCGAGCTGCCTTCAGAACTCAATTTTTCTTTGTAAGTAATTGTAGCTCTTCTTTCAGCTTCCCTCAGCCAATTCGTTTCTCAGTTGCTTTCTCAGTTACATTTCTGGGCTATCTTCTTTGAACTAAATTTCCTCTGAACAATTTCTTCATGTACTTCTTGTCTTTAGTCGCTGAGCTACCTCTTCTCTGAATTATTTTTTCTTCGAGTAATTTTCTTCTCTGAGATGCTTCTTCTCTGAGCAACCTCTTCTCTGAACCAACCTCTTCTTCGTTTCTATTTTCTTCCAGTCTGGGAACCAATTCCTCTAGCAACTTCCAAGTGCCTTCCAGACTGCACAAGAGGTTGCACCCTCTCCAGAAACTATCCTGCCCGCAGCAGTTGCAATGTGTTTAGCAACCTCCAGTTGCATTGCTGCGTAGCACAGGAGCCGCATCACATCTAAGACAATCTCACGTTTGGCAAGCGCTGGTTGTTTTTGTTCTGCAACTCCGGGGGCAAAGTTGAACCCTCGCTGGAGTCTCGTATTGTGGAGTGGGAAGTGTGGAGTGGTTAGTGTAGAGAAGGGTGCAAAGCTAGAGAAAGAGTCAAGTGTGTAATCTGAAGTGCAAAGTGTCTAAAGAATGATTCTAGCATGCAGGTAGAATTAAAGTCCAGAGTGTGCAGTGTAGAAAGCTGTTTGGATTCCAATTGCGGAGTGTACAGTGCAAAGTGTGGAGCGTACAGTGGTGTCAAACACAGTGTGAAGTGTAGCCTTTGCGAGCCTCATCTTCCAATTCTGACCATGCGGTGAAGTGATTTTCGTATTTTTTACAAAACCGAGATCTCGCTACAGTTCCGTCCAAGCACAGACCCTCTCTTTCTCTTCACAACAGCTTCCAAAACCTACAAAAACACCTTGTTGACTGCCCGCGCTTCCTCCTTTTCATTGGCTCATGTGCACACACACACAACTTTTGCATACACTTTATGGTGATTTGGGGGATGGTTTATCATTGTTTTCCACTGTGTAAACCTCCCTGTGATGCTTCCTGGATCGTGACGGATCGTGGTGCCAGGTGGTGGTGCACCATGGAGGTGCCGGGACGCTGCACGCCAGCGCCAGGAGTGGCCGGCCCACTTTGATTGCGCAGATTTTTGGTGATCAACCTGCCCATGCTGTGCTGGTCAATGAAAGAGGCTTCGGGCTGAGCCTGAAGTCCATGCCGAAGGACCTATATATGAACTGGGGGTTGGTGGCCAAAAGATTGAAGAATTCGGGTCTTCAAAGCCAGACCAATGTGGGTCCACAAAACGTAGGAACGAAAGAAAGGAAACTCACTGTGTGGGATATTTCAAAGTCACGAGACATCCTTTGTTGTCAGAAACCACCTCTCGAGAGAAAGTGATGGAGAGAAAGAGGGACAAACATAGATACTTGAAATCATTCGGTTCCTCCATCTTTGGTACTTGGGGTTGTCTCAAAATTTGGAACCAATTTTCCCATGGCCCATCATGTTCCAGCTTTGAGCCTCAGGCGACGCCGCTGGAACTGGCCGACACGATCCGGAAGTGCATCAACACGCTGTCAATCCAAGCCAAGGCCAAGGAAGTGGCTGAGCAGATGAAGAAGGAAGATGCGTCCGCGAGGTTGGTTGAAGTAATCAAAGACTACATGGAAAGCCACATCCGGACGGGAAAACACATGAAAACCTTGGAGGAACTGGAGCAGAAACTGGGTAGCAGAGTTTTTTTTTTCAGATCATGTGGTTCACATTTATTTTTCCAGCTGGGTGATGGTACTCTAACATGGCAATGGAGGATCGTTGGAGGGTAGGGGTCGGGCGGGGTCCAAACAATAACATGTCAATGAAAGGACCCATTGCGATAGCTCGGAAGGTTCTTCAAATTCGTGCCAGCATCTTAATGGGCTCAGACTAAAGGGCTCAAGTCTCAGAAATGTGCCAGTGATATCTCATGATCTTTAGATGCAGGTCCCCTTCAACATTCCTCGGGCTGAACCTGGGTGTTTTGTCAGGAAAAAGGGCGGCTGCTTGGCCTGCTGTTGCGCCTGTTCTGGGTCCTCTGGTGCGTCAAGCTCCAATTATTGAACATGAAGGATGATGCCCGGTGGGTCAAGGTGAAAGTTGTGAAATTCCAGGGGCAGTTTAGTGTAGTGATTTCAAAATCAATGCCAAAGGGAATCAGGCGTGTGGAAACAAAAAACGATTTAGTGGCAACGCAATGGCTATGGAGAGAGAGAGAGAGAGGGGCTATCAACCTGTGGAAAAACAACAATACAAGAATTGTATGACATGTAAATATTTTAATATCTATGATAAAGCTACATGATATATATATATATATATGTGCGTATTTACAATTTCCGGTATATATTATATAGACACCACCTGAAGAAACTCATGGGTTTCAGTCCCGTTTGCCGCCACTGGAGTGCGAGGAGAAGCTGAAGGCTGCGAATTCAAGGCTTGGCAATCAACAGTGACTGGTAGCAGCCTCACTGGCAGACCTCGCAGGAAATGTTTCGGTTTCTGATGGTTTATGATCATTCTAAAGATAAGGATAAAGTCCAAGACTGAGTTTTTTCCCCATCGCTGGTGTGAATGATTCCAATGTGCGAAAATGGTGACACCTTAGGGATGATTCTGTTGTCAGATGGTGCAGAACCGGGCCAAAGGACAGCTGTCACCTGCAGCTGGTCATAAGTTGCCCAACCAGATTGATCCGAAGAACGGGTCCTTCAAATAAGAACGAAGCAATGGTCGACCCAACTTGACAGCTAGGGATCGTCTCAAAATGAATGTGAAAGGTGCATCCGAAGCACAGAATGTGGTAAATAAACGGTAGCCGGTAGCCCTGGTTTTCGGTATGGTCATCGCGCCTTTTTGAGACACCCATTTTTGGCGACGCAGCGGTGACGAAGCACCCGCCTTTTTTCACCTGCTACTGCCGTTGCCCATGCTGTCACGTTGGCATTGAAGCCCGTGCTCCTTGGAGAAAAAGTGTTTCTGATGGAACGGGATCTTGCCCTCAAAGGTGGTCATTCAGGCAAAACACGATTGTACATCGTTACGCGCTTGCACATTTTGCGGGTTTGCAGCCCCATCAGTGCGGTGGTTTTGTGAGCTCACGTCGTCCAACCAGTCCATATAGCCAGGAGCCGCGGCGACATTTCTTCGGCCACACTCGGCCCATTGAAGTTCTCGAAGGGTTCGATGATGGGTTGGGGGACTCAGCATGGCCATGGAAAACGGATTTTCTGTTGCAGGGTGGATTGACCCCTTCGCTGGGCTTGGCTAACCAGCCCTGGAAGTGTGGAAAAAGGGGTTTCAATGATGCCAAAAGTTCAGCATTTGCTATTTAGCCACCATATCATGATTGCGTTGCTTGTCCCCTTTGCAGGTTGAAATTTAAAGGAAGCAGGTGTCAAAACTGTCAAGACTTTCCGACGGGGGAACACTTTTTAAAGTAGTTAATGGTACCCAAGAGCTTGACTCATGGGGAATATGCGGTATATGCCCATTCCTATTGGATAAACCCGCCCCCTGTGCGGGTTGCGCAACGCCGGCGCAGTTGGATCATCTCGGACTGTCGCTGGTAAAATTTGGAATTTCCAATGGCTTGACCGGTGGCTGACGAGGTGGGTTGCTATACAGTACATGGCCTTTCTAAGACTGATGTGGCAACGACTTTCCTGCTCAAGTCTAGCGTGTTGTATGGATTGGGTCCCCAGGTTGTTTGGTTTAATCATCCAGGGTTCCCAAACTAAGTGGTGGGGTGTTGGCTGTCCTGCGCACTGCCACGCCAGTGGCCTGCCTACCGTCCTTCTGGCCCTTGCCCTTGGACTTTCTCTGGGCTTCATCTTTGGTGCTTGTGCTTGCCTGTGGATTTTTGGATTTCTCGGCTCAGCACAACACCAACCTCCCCAGCTCCGGCACGAGTGCCTACTTGACTGAGACCGGGGCCCTTGCGAGGTTCAAGCAACGACGAGATTAACCTGGCTGTCCAAGTCCAGGGCCTGGGCATCACTGTTTCTGGGCCATCTGCAAGGGCTTTGGACTTTGTTCACCGGCTTTCTCCGCAATATCAAGGCGGTGCAGCCCAGCCTGCGACTGCCTCAATCAGTGCCTCTGCATCGCCTGGGCTCCCTGATCCAATTGATTGTCCTGCTTAGTATCTTGCTCTCGCCAAGAAGCTTTCAGCTGCCAGTGTCAAAACACCTGAGGAGAGGGTCAAGCGTGCCTGGCTTGCAGGGCAATACGCCCGGGCCGAACTGTCAGGAGCAGTCATTGAGGAGCCAGTCATTGCCCTCGATCTGCTAAACAACTTTTGGGCAGTGCTGTGAGGGAGGGGCATCTCTAAGCCGAAGATTATGCGGTCTCAGAGGGGCTTCAAGGAGCTGCTGGAAGCCCGATCAGGGTTTACTTTGGTGGGACACGGCTTCCCCAGTGAGACAGAGGCGAGGCGGGTGTACATTGCAGGGGCAGGTTTGGCCCCAAGGCATTAGATCAGCTAGCTATGGAGCAAGATCGTTTGGTAGCGTTGCGCTCAGAGTTCGGCCCAGTAGGGTTTCAACTCAACTTTATCTACTGGATCTGCAGCCTGCTTTTGTTTTGGAGGAGGTGGAGCCAGGACATGCCTTGGCCTTGATCGTGTTGACAAGGAGAGAAGGGCTTCTTTTGGCACTGCCCGAGCTGGCTCTGAGCTTGGATGTTTTGGAGGCAGGAAATGCGGAGGGAGCTCAAGGACTTGTTGGAGTTTGTATGAGGTTGGAGGTAGCATGTGCGGTCGTAGACAAGAAGCTTGGACCTGTGTTTCATCTCTGGCCGAGGGACGTACCATGGTGGTTGTCATGGTAGATTTCACCAACGAGGTTCTGCAGCATTTGACGCCCCTGTCCTCAAGAGAAGAGCTGGAGGCAGCACATGCCTTCGATGTCTTGGAGTCTTACCTGGTCCCGGCGGGAGACGAGCTTGTTGCAAAAGCTCTCACCTGGATTGCAGTTTTACTCAGCAGAGTCTTCAACGCGCACAAAAATGAAACCACCGATCGACAAATCGGGGACAAGCGCTGGGTCAATGGGTGATCAAGTCGGTTGTAGGGGCTTCAAGTCCCTCTTTCAGGGCGATCATCTTGAAGTTGAGTTTGCGCTCGTCTTCTTGATGAGCCACATACTGAGGCATCACCCTTTTCCCCGAGGTCCAGTTTGGCAGGGGATTGTCATTGATGACTTCTTTGCGATATCCCTTGAAGATGCTAGATTGCCTTCCTGCAGTGCGGCCTCAGTTGACGTATATGCCAAGGAGAAGGTGTTGGGGTCAGATGACAAGACGGTCAGAGGAGCAGAGGCTTTCAAGGTTGTAGGAGCAGAGGTGCTGTCTGATGAGCAAGCCCGCAGATGCAATGGCACTTTCATCAGCGCTCCTGCTGCAAAGAGGCTTCCTATGATCTGCCTGGCTCTTGCTGCAGCCAGATTGCCTTGCATCAGCAAATCCCTTGCGGCGAGGATTGCAGGAAATTGGGTTTCTATCTTCATGTGCCGCCACTCCTATGCTGCATCCTCAACGGCATTTTTGCTTTTGGATCAAAACCCCTTGCTGACACAGATGATGTTGTTCCCTTGCCCAGGAGGGTTGCTGAGGAGCTGGCTTTGAAATTTCACTGCGTTGCTGAGGAGCTGGCTTTGAGATTTTAGCCCCATGACACGTGCATCTATGCTTCTGATGCATCCTCTACCAAAGGAACTTTCACCTCTCTTGACATTGGAAGTGATCTTGCTAGTGCGATTTGGCTTGGCGGTGACAAGAGAGGTTCCTACACAATGCTTGACTCCCCTGTGCGACAGATGCTTAGACGAAGGTGCAGGATTTCAGATTTGATGCTGTTGAGATATGTGGTGGATCTGGCGTGTTGTCAGCGGCTCTGATCAAAGAGGGCTTGGCAGCCTGCACGCCAATTGACCTCTCTAGGAGTGAGCACTTCAACCTTCAAAACATCAAGCTCACCGACTGGATCTTTCAGATGATTTTTGGAAGGAGGTTCAAGGGGGTAGTAGCCGAACCTGTCTGCACTACAGTCTCCCCAGCGCAGCATCCTGCAGCGCCTTGGCAACTGCATCGCCTTCAGATGCCTGGCAATACTGTGGTTCTCCTATCTGCACGGTGAACTTGGACTTCTGGAGCAGCCTTTGCTCTCGAAGACGGCGTGGCTCTCAATTTGGATTTATTTGCAGAAGATTGGACTTTCTGAGGCACACATTGACCCGTGTGCCTTTGGATCGCCCCATCACAAGCCCTTTCGACTGCTGGGGCATGGATTTGACGTTGACTCTCTCGTCTACTGGTGGTCACAAGCACGTCCGCATAGAGGGCAAGTTCACCAAAGCTAGCGCAGCATACCACCCAAATCTTGCAGCCTTCATTGCCAAGAAGATTGCCCAGCGTCTGAAGATGAGAAACACAGATGGTGAGAAGGAGGGAACAAAGCTCGAGAGCGTTGTCTTGAACGACTTGCTGCAAAGTCCTGGTTGGAAAGTTGAAAGTGGCTGGTTCTGGAAAAAGCATGTCCATATCAACATCCTTGGAAGGCAGATCCTAGGTTGGACTTTACAGGTTTTTGCTCTTGAAAGGCGGAGACAGGAGGTTCACAGCCCTGATGGACTCAAGGGTCGCCAAGCGAGCAATTGCCAAGGGCCGCTCCGCTGCCAGAGCACTCCGCCCTACATTGCTCCGAGCCTGCTCCTACGACATTGCAGGAAATCTCCATCATTCACTTGGATTTGCACCAGCCAGGCTGAACACAGCTGACGCTCCGACACGTGAAACGCCTTTATCCATGCAATGGAGCTGCTCCATTTTGGATTTTTGCTCTCTTGGTCAGCCAGTCACTATCCACTCACATCAGTTCTCCAGAGCGGCCGCAGGATGGATTCGGCTTTACATCCTTGTGGCTTTCTGTCTCTGTCCTGGTGGTATATGTGTTGCTTTGAAAAAACTGAGCTTTCTGGAGGACTTGGGGAAAAAGTTGCAGAGGTCCTGGATTCGGCTTTTTGGCTCGCTAGTCAGTCTTTTCTGGTATGTCCCGTTGGGGCCTCCTGCAAGTAAATTTCAAGAACTCGTGTGCTCAGCCACCTCCCTTTTCGCCTGACAAACTCCGCATCTTCTGTCTGCGCCAGCCAGTGCGTGGCTCCTCCAGGTCGCAAGCTGCTAAGGTTGAAATGACTACAACCCTGGCTGTCAGCGATGCCAAGTGCCGCAAGCAGCAAAGCAAACCTCCGTCTCAGCTTCGATGGTGACCAAGGCCAGAGCCGTTCATCTGGGTTCAACCGGCGAAAGGCCAGGTCAAGGAGAAGCACCACGTCATCAGGCTCTATGCGCGACGACTGATGCCTGGCGGCTCGGCCTCTTGTCTTTGGGAGCCTAATTTGCAACAAAGCTCCAAGAGTTCCCGGGCTGCGTCTCGAGGTAATATCAGGTCGGACCTGGCAGCTGCAAGCGCTTCTCCAACTCTGAGAACTCCAGCCCATGTCATTGCAATTAAGGCTCCTTCACGAAGCCATCCCGAAGGATTGCCACACCAATGCATGCTATCATGATGGAAACTGGTAAGGCAGCATTGCAGCATGATGTTCATGAGGCTCATCTGTAACCCAGTTAAAAGCTAAGTCCTATGCGGCTGAAACTTGCTTTCGCAGCGCAGAGCGTCGAGCTGTGACTGCGTTGATCGTTTCAGAGAACTTTCCATAGCTCTTGTACATACCTTTTCCAAAGGCAACGGGCGCTTCACAAACCGCTTCGCCGTCAACATGATTTCCCCCTATCAATTCCTCGAGGGTATATCTCTAATTATCTCTAGTTCTCACCGAGCCAGATGTCAAACTCTGCCAGCAGAACTTCGCGTCGAGACCATGTCTGTTGCAGAATCACGCGGTCAGCTTGAAGCTGTCGACCAAATCTTCTATCCGCTCTCCGCAGTTCTTCAGTTCCAGTTGGCTGCAACGGCATGGCGGAACCAAGGTCGAGACTGGCTAATAGGGCTACGGATTGGATTATCCCCGGTTGTACCCAATTATTAGGAAAAGCCATATTCCAGGGTCCCAAGGAGAAAGCCCACGAGAACGAGGGGTGTGGCATGGTGTGGCCAGGCAAATCCAAGGAAGAGGCAGCACAAAATCCAAGGCAGCAATAGAAATCCAGCACCCCTCACCAGAGGAAGCTTGGCCAAAATTGTGGTGATGCTGGGATGATGGAAGTATGGCATGAAATACAACTCCAACAATGAGTTGTCGTATCACCGGAGAACAACCCAGCGGATGCAGGGAAAACAGTGTGAGCATGAAGTCTTATATAATCATACCTGTATCTATGGTTCAAGATTAAACGCCATATATATATATGAATAGATCTGTATATAATTATATATGATACCACCTTTCTCTATGGTGAAATTGTGGTTTACTGATATTATCTATACACACAATAATATATATATATATATACACATATCTATACATGTATATAGTACATATATCAAGTATACTGTATCTCTATGCATACATGCACGTCCATAGATACACAGAGGTATCGAGAAATCAATGCATCCATACAGGTCAGTCCATACATATTTCCATAATTTTCCATACAATTGAATACCCGCAGCAGCTTGCCAGCCGCCTAGGTGGAGATGGCACCTACTGCGCCTGGGGCCCTCAGATCTCTCTGCCGTGCAGAATGGGTCGCAGCGGAAACCCGGTGGCTGAGGCCTGTTTCGAGCCATGCCCACATGGAATTGTGCATGCAATTAGCCTCACATAGCTTCACTACCGTCAAGGTCATCATTCAACTCACCTGTATCACGGCGGCTGGATGTGATGCCGCAGGGTTTCAACCTGTAGAAGATCCACCAAACATACCGAGCAGCACTGCTTCAATTTCTTGCAAGGTGCTGGTCATAGGAGTTGAGGCTAAACATAGCAACCATGAACGCTTTCTATGTTCATTGAGATGCAACAACAACAACAACAACCACAGCAACCGCAACAACAACAGCAGCAGCAGCAGCAACAACAACAACAAGAACAACAAGAACAACAAGAACAACAAGAACCATGCGACTGAGCGAGTCCTCGACAGGCCTGGTTTGTGGATAGCCCTGGCCTACTTCCACCTGTAGCACAAGGGTTTCCTTCACACCTGCTTCCAGCTCCTTTCCCAAGCTCAACCGCTCTCAACCCCAGTTTGGACAATTTCAATTGATGTTTACATTTCACACGTGATTATCGCACCCCATTGCATTAATAAAGTAGGCCAACTCCCCTAAACCAATTATTCAAGCCCTCCTCAATATAGAGTGAGAGAACTTGGTTCGGTGCATTTTTTCATTTGTTCCTGAACTACAAAGCTCGAGTCTTTTCAAACTTGAACATCAAAAAGCTCTCCGGCTCTCCATGAATACATGTCTCAACTACATAGAAAACTTTACCTGACTGCACGTGTAAAGTACTCAAACATCGCATCCCGCCTAGGTCAACACGGTGACGGGCGAAACTACCTTGACGGAGCCTTTGCTGAGCTCGGGGACCACCACACCGTTGGGTGCCTTCATGGTGGCCCAGACCCCCATCGCCGCTGGTGCCATGACGCCCGCGGGCACGCCCGCGCACCCCCGCGCACCCGGCACCCAGCACGCCCATGCGGAACCCCTCCACACCAGCGCCCATCCCTTTGCCGGAAGGGTGGACGCAGATCACGCAGGGAACCTCAAGACGTGAGGAATTTGTGAGGGAAATCCTGGAGGAGGGGATCCTCCGATTGCATGGCTTATCTCGTTATTGCCAGAATAACGGAGAGACTTTGGAGGCTTGAATTGCAGCTCCTGGATTCCATTTTTTCCCCTTCATTGGGTGACCAGCGATATGCACAAATTTCAATTCTGAGTTGGGCCCAAGATAAGGTCCAAAAGCACTGGGAAGCCGTACTTCTGGAATGTGAAGCTTGGTATTTCTCAGTTGGAGACTTGGATATTGATTTGTTGCATGGTGTGCGCATGGAACTTGGTACAAGTAGTCGAGTGTGGTGGTTGGCTTCTAACTTAAGCACAGAGGAAGCGCTGGGACCCTGAACATGATGTGAATTCTTTTTGTCATGTCATATATCTTCAGCTCATACCATGACAGTGATGCCAAGATCTTGCCGCGATTGCATGGCACCCATGCAGCCCTGCAGGTTCCACTTCCCCACTCCCAACCAGACGAAGTCGCCAGAGACCAAGAACACCTGAGATCCGCGGAGAGCCAACGAGCTGAAAAGTTGGTCGGTGATGGATGATTGGGGGAAGATCTGACAAATCAGGGGAAGATCACCCAAATGATCCACCAATCATGTTGGGATGGATGTAGTGAACAAAGGCCAAAGAAGTCGCCTTTCTTGCCTCCGATTTTTCGTTGAACTCCATCTTCTCCAAGTGGTAGCAGGGATGAGAGATTCAGACAGGAGAGTTGGCCACTTAAAGTATTCCTTTTCTTCGACATTGTTTGAGACTACTGACTATTGTATTGAAACTGGTGCGTGTTATCAGACCGTCACAATGCAGCTGTTTGGGAAGCTGTCAATGATCCAAAAAGATGCAGCCGAGTTTTAGTTCTTCTCACGTGCTCCCACTCCTGACTTGGATGGACCGCACCCACCAAATAGATATTCGCTGGGTTTCCCTTTTTTTCCTGGGGACGACGGTAGCCAGGAACGAGCTAGGAGAACCAAACAAACATGGGAAGACCGCAAGTGTAGCAACTCCAAGTTAGCTTTGTGCTGCTTGACGTGCCACTGTGCATGGGAAATGGCCGGTGCGAGTCGACAATGGCAGCACCCTCACGTGGATATCTTCAAGACTCGCTCTGGGGCTGGGTCTGGATGTCGAGCAGCAACCAGATATTTTGATCGGTCTGGTGCTTTTTTGATTTGGACATCCTTAATGGATCTTAATGGCCCCATGTTTGGCAGCCACATCAACGCAAGACTCTCCCAATTTTCCCCAACTTTGGTGGTGGATGGTGTTTTTACCCACAAAACCCAGGTGTTCCTCACTGCCAAAAGCCTCCGCCAGGAGCTTTGGCACCGATGCTTCCAGCAATTCGCCCTTTCCAGCCTCCTCGCTGGTCGCAGACGTGCGCGGGGATGTCACCGAGGACCAGCAGCTGCTTGGTGCTTAGAGTTTTCCAAAACACAAGTGGCGTTGTTTGGAGATGGGTAAAGTCTGCGCCCCAAGCATTTGTAGTTGAACGCGTTTTGATTACGGCCCAGAGCTATTTTTATCAATAGCCCGGATTTGTTCTTGTAGATTGGACAAAAAGAACTTGTTCTATGTCCTTTTTAGGGGTGCTCCCCCTGGCAGGAGATGGATCGGGAGATTTGCAAGCATGTCTTCCGCATCCAAGGGGCCGCAGGGGAGCCTGGCCAAAGGAATGCGGCGGGATTTCGTTGTGAACCAAGGACTGACTTGACCTATGCTGCCCAACATCCTGGTTGGTTAAAATGTGTTGAAACCTGATTCTTGATGGTGAAACCATTAAACCATGCAAAGGTCACAAGGCATGCAGCTTCTTCGCTGAGGTGTCGGCCAATAACTTCATCCAGTTGCCTGCTAGGAAGGCGCGTTAAACGCACGTGGCGCGTTTGTGATTCGGCGGTCGCCACCAAGAAAGCCCAAACCGGAGTAACCAACAATGTGGATAGTGAGGAGTAATAGAAGGGATTCTCCAACTTATTGTAGATAAATGATTGCCAGAAAGGTCAAAAATGGGTGATGTTGCTCTTTTGTCAAGCCGATTTCTGAGCTCAGTATCTCGGGTGGAGCAACCCCGCCCGAGTTTGCAGGTGAAATCCATGGGACTCACAGGGGAATACGTCTACCTCTTAGTGAAGCCTTTGGAACTGAAGTTCTTTCTGGTTCACTTGGACCGGATCCGGTGGTGCTAACTGGTGGAGAATTTTGGTGCTTTAAAAGGGAAAGGTTGGTGCATGAAGCCTTGAACATCTCATGTTGGTTTCTAATTTGGGATTTGCCCATAACATCATAACTCACTGGAAGGCGGGAGGCCTTTTTTTGGGGGTCGCTTGGCCGCAGGATTTTGTTGTGAGCAGCGGCAATCGTCTCCGCGACTTGGCTATGGCAGAGGAGTAGTGGTTCTTTTTCCTTACTTGTACCTTTTGCTACCAGATTGAGGCCATTACCAGCTCGATTGACAAGCAATTGAAAAAAGCACGGTACTTTAGTTTGACATGGATTTCGAGCTAACGATAGATTGTTTGTTCATTTGTGTAGGAAAGCGTGGAGGAATGAAATCACCACCCAAGGGCCAGATGCTGACCCCTTGTGCCAGGTATCTCCTTAAGCAACCTCTATGAAGAGGCTGCGGATGGGAGTCGACAGGCATCAGTTTTGGACCTTTGATCGCAACTGCAGGTGAAGATTGGGCATCACTGCATCCAATGCCCTTGCAAACTTCCAGATTCTTGGACCGTGCCTTTGCCGGCAGTGGTCCAAGAGTTCGCCATGGCCCACCTTTAGCCCCACCCCCATCTCCAAACCCTTCAACCCCATCCCAGCGCCCCAGCCCCACGTCGCATCCCCGGCCCAGGTGGTTCGGCTCCACGTGCCCTCCATCCTCCGCCTGGGCAATCTGTTGCCGCATGGCTTCGTCCTCCGCTCCCTGCAGCTCTGCGCCTCCCTGCGGGTGCGGGGTGCCTTCACCTCGGATCGCGCCTGGGATGATCGGAGGTAGAAGCCAGCACCAAACATGGGGCATTTTGTGATAATTTTCGGGGTTTGAAAGCCGGGAGTTGGTGGGATGATGCCCTAAAATCTGATGAAATTGGATGAACTTGGAGGGTTTGGAGGGACGAGACTCTGCCAAAAAATCGGATGAAACCGCATCTGGAGGGCAGGTTGTGACTTTTATCAGTGCTTTTTAGCTGGGAAGTACTTTGTGCAAGTTTTGTAGTGCACAGTAGTACTGGGAAGTGCTTTGTGCAAGCTTTGTAGTACAAAGTAGTATTGGGATGTATTGGGAAGGACTTCGTGCAAGCTTTGCAGTACAAAGTAGTACTGGAACGTGCTTTGTGCGAGCTTTTTAGTACAAAGTAGTACTGGGAAGTGCTTTGTGCAAGCTTTGTAGTACAAAGTAGTACTGGAACGTGCTTTGTGCGAGCTTTGTAGTACAAAGTAGTACTGGGAAGTGCTTTGTGCAAGCTTTGTAGTACAAAGTAGTACTGGGAAGTGCTTCGTGCAAGCTTTGCAGTGCAAAGTAGTACTGGAACGTGCTTTGTGCGAGCTTTGTAGTACAAAGTAGTACTGGGAAGTGCTTTGTGCAAGCTTTGTAGTACAAAGTAGTACTGGGAAGTGCTTTGTGCAAGCTTTGTGGTACAAAGTAGTGCTGGGAAGTGCTTTGTGCAAGCTTTGCGGTACAAAGCAGTGCTGGGAAGTGCTTTGTGCAAGCTTTGTAGTGCACAGAAGTACTGGGACGTGCTTTGTGCTAGTACAAAGTAGTACTGGGAAGTACTCTGCGCAAACTTTGCAGTACAAAGTAGTACTGGGGTGTGCTTTGTGCAAGCTTTGTAGTACAAAGTAGTACTGGGAAGTGCTTTGTGCAAGCTTTGTAGTACAAAGTAGTACTGGAACGTGCTTTGTGCGAGCTTTGTAGTACAAAGTAGTACTGGGAAGTGCTTTGTGCAAGCTTTGTAGTACAAAGTAGGACTGGGGCGTTTTTTGTGCAAGCTTTGTAGTGCAAAGTAGTACTGGGAAGTGCTTTTGTGCAAGCTCTGTAGTACAAAGTTTTCGGAAAGGTTTTTCTGTCTAAATGCATTTGTGCCCCAAGTGTCTGTCTGTGTGCAAAAACTTTCCGCGCCCAATGGTTTTTTGTGCAAGGGACTTCTCTCTGACAGTAAGAGCTTTTTGGCGTGCAGAACAGCTAAGATGAGTTGAGACGAACTTCGAGGAGATGAGAGAGGTTGATCAGTGCTCGGATAAGATGAAAACAGTTGAGAAGAACTTACTTTGATGACATGTGAGAAGAGATGGGATGAGATGAGAAGAGCTGAGATGAGGTGAGAAGAGCTCACGTGGTTTGAGGTGAGATGAAGTGCCAAGTGCAAGTGTGAAGTGCGAAGTGCAGGGTGTGAAGCGTGCACTGTGAAGTGTGAGGAAAGTGTTCGCTTGGCGTTGCATTGCGCCGGGGTCGTGCGCAGGTCATGTTCTTGGACAACATCTTCGCAACAGCCTCGCACAAAGCACGCACGCACGGGCCTGGCTGGCGCACGGCGCGTGCAAATTCTATCGATGAAAAAGGTGTTATAGTTATAGTGTATCCCGAAGGCAACTTCCGCCCCGCCTCGTGCGGGCACTACTGGTACACTTTACTTTTATTTTACCATACTTTTCCTCAAACTTTCATAGCTGCTTGGGTCCCCAAGGCCGCTATTCTCCACCAGATGCACCTCGAGACTTAGCGCCGGGCGCGGCCAACTGGCAGTGGATGGACGCACCGTTGCGGGTGGAGGTCAGCGGTGGAGAAAGTAGTAGAAACTGGGGGGTTAACCATCAACATCCACCAACCATCGGGATTCAATGGTGATGGGGTTTACTGGGTTTTCGTGGGATATGCGATGGTTACCTTCTGGTCATTCCTTAACGTTTTTAATGGAAGATTGCGAACTTCTGGATGGTTTTTTGAGAATTTATGATGATGCATCGTTATTTGTGATTTTTCATACAACAGTGTTAGATTACCAGAGCCTAAGCATGGGAACGCTGAAAACTCATGGGGAAAAAACATGCTTGACAATGCTAGACACTTTCAAATCATTGAAGGCATCATATGATTGTGAAGACCTCAAGCAGCGAAGGCCGTCGTGCCCAAGAACGGCGAAAAGAGCAGGCCATGGCCCCATGGCTGGGATCCAGCATGCCTGGCCATGGCCGAACGGACCAAAGACCTGGCACAATGTAGTGACCAGAATGAGTGTTGTGTCTCATCCCCCTTTTCCTCCTGACCATCCAACTCCGACCGCAGGATAGCAGAGGAGATGAAAGGCAAACATCCTACGGAAGGCAAGGGTGAACAGCTACCCCAGCCGAGGGCATCATAGAATGGGACGGATACGGGAATTTGCACGGGCTGGGCATGCCCCCCTCTCACCCGAAAATGCCAAGTGAAATAACATTTCCACGGAAAATTGACGAAATTCACCAACAGGGACACCAACATTGAGACTATCACCATTTCCAATATTTCCATCACCATCTGTCACCCCACGGCCGGCAGCAAAAGGCACAGCAGACGCAACCCCATTGGAGCCGGCCAGTGAGCTCGAAGATGCCTGGTCGGCAGCTGAAGTGAAGTTGCATCGCTTTCACTTGGAAGAAATCCGTATTTGAGTAAAAATCCAAGTTTTTTTCCTCCTCATGAACACATTAAAACTGTTTGTGTTTCAATTTGTTCCTTGCTTGTGCCAAAGATCATGGAAAGATAAGTTCACAAGCCCGATGCCGCCCTGATAAGTCATGGATGGCGTGTTGTATCTGGGGGCGAAGACCTGCAGCAAATTCATGGGATCAAAGGATGCCATGGCAATTTTAGGTAGATTCACACTAGATTATCCTCTCCAAATCTCTATCATAGCCCTTATCTTGAACAGATAGAACTTGATAAAACACATATATTCTTGATGCTTAAGTTAAATCTCAATTTTTGATGATTCGATCCCCAGTTGTGCTGTGAAAACCTTTGCGTACGAAATCCAAATCATTGAGTTTTTCCGCTGTCCCAGGCCCAAACCATTGATGCGCTTTTCATCTCTGCTGGGTGCCACTCAGCCATCCCGAAGGCCGCTAGATCCGATGGATCCGATGGATTGCAAGGCGACGAAAGGTGGCTGATTTGAAGGATGAGGAATTGAAGATATTGAAGCAGGGGAGGGAGAAGTTCAGTGGAGATAACCCGGGGCCTCAAAATGTGCCGTGCCAGGCTCCGAATGGGAGGAACTTTGACCAAAGCAGGGCGCCCCAAATTGTGAAAAGATGCATCCACTCCTGATTCAAACTCTTTGGGCTCTCCGCTGCCACCACTGACAAGTGCCAAATATCTAGATTCTTACATCACTCCTACCTCTTCCTCCAAACCCGGATGTCAACTTCCGGTGTTCTCAGGCATCGTCCGCCTCCAAGTCCCTTGCCCCCCTTTTCCGTCATCCTCTTATCTCACAACGATTCAAACTGACCTTTTGTTCAATCCATCCTACTACATGGCTCTGCATCCCAGGTTTATTCTCCAGCGCAGATCGCCAAAATTGAAGCACTTCTTTCACATCAAAAGCCCATATTACCATCGGGTTCTTTCGCCCACCGACTTTCCGTGTTCCAATGAAAATGAAATTACTTACCATCTCTCTCCTACCAGGTTCTTCCATCCTGTATTCCTTCTTCTCTGCGCATCTCCGACTTCCGCATCAAATACCTTGGACACATTCTCCGCCATCCTGACAGTCCAGAATCCCATATTATGAGCGGAATCGGCACACCGAGCCCATATCCTTCGCCAGTCACCTCTTCTTCTTGGTCACTTCATTCATTCCTTTTATCACCATGTCACAATTGCCGAACCCAAACAGTTCTCTTCAACCAGCATGAAGCAATGGTATGATATTGCCAGATTCTTACATCTCCTTCCACCAATTACAGAAAACAGAGAACAATGGCTTTGGCTTACCAAAGCGAAATAAGTAACCAGCTTAGGGTGCGCTGCTGCGGGCGTGTTGTGAAAAAACCCAATCACCAGAACAAATCCATTGATGCTCCCAGGTCCCGGGCCGCTTCGCGGTGTTTGCTTCACCTGGTCCGGTGGAGGCGGGGGAAACATATGGAAAACATAAAACAACCATAAACAATTTAAACAACCTATATATACAGAAATCTATAGACATTGTAGATCTACAACCATCCTGGAGAACCAGCCTGGTGCTGGAAGATTCTGGGAAAATCCAGCAACGGAACAGGACGATGCAGTGGAGGCCCACAAGGCCCTTCGGTTGCCATGGCGGGGTGAGAAAGATCTAAGTACTCCCATCCCCTAAGTGTCTTAGTGTTCTAGTAATGGTCCCAAATATGTGTTTGTGCCCCCTACTCAACCATGTTTTTTTTTGGCTGTTTCATAGGGGGATCCTATCATCCCAGGAGCTAGTTGGCACATTTGGCACAAATCATGGCAGGCTACTTGCAAAAATTGTATGTGCTTCACACCACAAGTTTGAACATTTTTGCAAGACTGTTGGATCGCGCCCATGCAGATTTCTTGGAACGCATTTTGGTGTTCATTTTTAACCGAACGTAACTGGGCCAAGGTGGTGGGCATTGCATCCATGTCCCTGTCATTCTCGTCAATTGATGACGGGAAGGCGGGCTGGTGGGGTGGCTCAATAGCTCAGTTCTTATGGCCGCAAAGGGCGGCAATGAAAGTTGAAGGAAAGAGGCCACCTGAGAGAATCTGCGCTTTGGGAGTGGCAATTCCTTGGTTCCAATGTTCAACTGCATTGCATGGCCAGGAACTTGTTTATTTTCAGCAGGATTAACTTGCAAGCACATTTGTGACATTGTCTTCCATGGAGCTCCAGAACGAACGCTGCCATTTTTTGAGCCCTGCCCTGCAGCCATATTCAGCTTCGACCTCATCCAACTCTTCCCATCAGCCCATCTATCCCTGGTATGGCAGGGCGAATTTTGATCGTCTTCGACGGAACGCGTGGAGATACCCAGCCGTATCTCCTGGCAGCAAAGGCTCTGGCGCAGGAGGTTTGGCAGTTTCAAGTTCCCTTTTACTCGGAGCCGCCTGAGCGCCCAGAAGGTGTGACAGCATGAAAATCCCGGATCCAATTCACTTGGCCAAAAATGCTAATTAGTGTGGAATGTATTCGAGTGGAGCCACGGTGGAGCTGGTCATTTTGGCCGTCAAATTTGGGGGATCAATTTGACTAAATGTCGGCCGCAGTCATGAAGATTTGCGCATTTTGTTCTAAGCAGGGGTGACCGAATTGGCAATGTCAAGCCTGTCAGCAGTTGAGTGGGGTCGTATGTGCGCGGGTGTCTGTTGCTCCTATGATGTATGAAATTGATCATGATTGACCGCGTAACTCAGCGCAAGGAGATGAATGTTTAAGTTCCGGTTCCATGTGGTATTTTGTCAGGGCGAAATCCTAATTTTTTCCTACCCGGCTTCAGCCCAAACAGGTGTTTGCAGACCCAGAGATGGCAAAGGAGTTTGCAACAGATGATGTGACAAAAGTGCTGGGGGCGCTTGACAAGAAGAAAGACGAATTTCTCACAGAGTCAAGCAGGGAAAAGGACCTTGAAGCCTTGTGTACATTGATTCAAGAGTGGAAACCTGACTTGATTTTGGCCGGCGCGGTGTTGCTGGCTCTGGTGATCATGGTCAGCAAGGTTCACAGAGTTCCAGTGGTGAGCTTCACGCTTGCACACGGGAGGGTGTGCAAGTCGTTGAAGCCGATGTATATGCCCGACTGGCTTCCAAAATTTATGTGGTGGCCGCTTTGGCGTCTTTTGGTCTTTGCAATGGCCAGGTCAGAGTTCAAGCAACTTGTTGGTTGTTTCCAGCAATTTTTTGATTTTGTGTGGGGTTCTTGTTTTTGATTTTGTATCCCGCCTCCTCCACCTCCTCCTCCTCCGCCGCCTCCGCCTCCATCTCACTCACACAACTTTGTCACACACCCTCTTTGACACAACTTTGTCACCCACAACTTTGTCACACACCATCTTTCACACACACGCGCACACACCTTCTTTGACACACCATCTTTCACCCAATCTTTCACACACAACTTTGTCACAAACCCTCTTTGACACACAACTTTGTCACCCACAACTTTGTCACCCACAACTTTGTCATACACCATCTTTCACACCATCTTTGTCACACACCCTCTTTGACACAACTTTGTCACCCGCAACTTTGTCACACACCATCTGTCACCTTCGTTTCGCGTAGCTGGCGTGGCGCTTGCGGAACTGGGCTGGCTCTAGTGGCGCGCTTTGGTCGCCGGTGACGCCGTGGTACTTTGCGTGGCAGGCGTGGCGCTTGGTGCCATCCACCTTCGTATCAAGTGGCAGGCGTGGCACTTGGCGACATCTTTCGTTTCACTTGGCTGGCGTGGCACTTGGCGACTACCTTCGTTTTGCGTGGCAGGCGTGGCACTTGCGGCACTGGGCTGGCCCTTGTGGCAGGCGTGGCGCTTGGTGACATCTACCTTTGTTTTGCGTGGCAGGCGTGGCACTTGCGGCACTGGGCTGGATCTGGTGGCGCGCTTGGGCGCGCTTTAGTCGCCGGTGAAACCGCGGTACTTTGCATGGCAGGCGTGGCACTTGGTGACATCTACCTTCGTTTTGCGTGGCAGGCCTGGCGCTTGCGGCACTGGGCTGGCTCTGGTGGCGCGCTTGGGCGACATCTACCTTCGTTTTGCGTGGCAGGCGTGGCACTTGCGGCGCTGGGCTGGCTCTGGTGGCGCTTGGGCGCGCTTTGGTCGCCGGTGACGGCTTGGTACTTTGCGTGGCAGGCGTGGCACTTGGCGACATCTTTCGTTTCACTTGGCTGGCGTGGCACTTGGCGACATCTACCTTGTTTTGCATGGCAGGCGTGGCACTTGCGGCACTGGGCTGGCTCTGGTGGTGCGCTTGGGCGCGCTTTGGTCGCCGGTGACGCCGTGGCACTTGCAACCTGAAACTGGGAAAGCGGACGTTGTCCGAACTTCGTGCTGATGAGTTTAGGCCAACCTATAACATTCATGTGCTGGTTTCTTCGGATGAGCAGAGACGGGCTTTACGTGCGAAGTTGCTTTATGATCCAGTTTATCTTCGTGTGCCTGTGGTGGAAGACGGCAAGGTCTCTCCCTGGAAGAAGCCGGCTTTCCGGGAAATCTGCGATGCCATTCAGCTTGCTAGCGTATAGATTCATATTCGCAAGCTTTCTTTCCTGTTTTGGCTGCGCGCATTGATCCACCGTGGAAAGACACGCGTGGTTACACTCAGTTCATGACGGCTCGTGTCATGTCTCGATTTTGAACCACCGTGGGAAGAAATCAGGTATGCTTTGCAAAGATTTGCGCTGCTTGAAACTGTACCGGCAAGTTTGGAGTTTGATGATGCGCAAAGATCAAAAAGCGATGATGTCTTTGCTGTGCGGTCGACCACTTTCTTTACATGTTGCTCGCGTTGCTGCCAGGCACCTGCTGGATGAGGGTGGCATCGTTCTTATGACGGTGACTGAAATTCCTTGAGGGCAAGAGATGGTTCTGTTTGAATGTTTGAAATGTGAATGTACATGTCCTTGAGTATGGTGCATCAAATGGTGTGATGCAATGTGTGAAGAACCGTTTGATGCCGTGAAAAAAATGTTTGTGTGTTTCTGAGTATGGTACAACAAATGGTTTGACACAATGTGTGAAGAATCGTTTGTTGCCGTGAAAAAATATCTTCGCCAGCAAGGAGTGTGCAGTAGCTTCGGCAGTGCGATGTTGTCAAGTCTTTTCTGTTTGGAGTTACTTACACCCTTTAGAGCATGGGTTGATGCAACGTGCGACGTTTCATTTCTATTGTCATGTTAAGATTTTTGGTGACATTGGGGACTTGGCAATGCTTGTGTCATTCACGTGTGACACTTGCGTGTGGAGATTGCTGGACGGAGCCGACTGTATCGCACAGTGATGTCTTTCCTATGCTTCGTGCAAAAGGGCCCTCTCTTTGCAAAACACCATCTTTCACAGCACAACTTTGTCACACACCATCTTCACCACCCCATGTTTCACACACACAACTTTGTCAAACACCATCTTTCGTTTCTTTCGCCACACCATCTTTCACACGCCACTTTGGCACACACCATCTTTCACACACCGTCACAGACCATCTTTCACACACCTTCTTTGACACATCCTCTTTCACACACACAACTTTGTCATACACCATCTTTCACCACACCATCTTTCACACACAACTTTGTCACACACACGCACACCATCTTTCTTTGTCACGCACCATCTTTCACAGACAACTTTGTCACACACAACTTTTTTTATTTTTCGATCCTCCACCACCTCCTTTGTTTTCCCGTCCCCGCTACAACATTTGTTGCTCATAATTGGAAAAGTTGACTTGTGGGGTTGTCCGGTCCTTTCATTTTATATACCTGGGAAACTCTTTTTTCTAACCTTGCCTCGCTACCTCTCTTTTCTAGCCTTGCTGGACTCTTTTTTCTAACCTGGCACCTCTTTTTTGTTTGGCATTTTGCCCAACAAGCCCAGCTCCGGGGTTTGAGCCCAGAGCAAGGTTAAAATGCGGCTGGCTGGTTCGGAGGTTCTGGAAGGTTCTGAACGGTTCCGGGAGATTTAGGAGGTTCTGTGTTCTGGCGGTTCCGGTGAGGTTTTGGTGTGGTGGTGGTAAAGTATCCTATCTATCCTATCTATCGCATCTATCCTGTCCTATATCCTGTCCTATATGCTGCCCTATCCTGTCCTATCCTGCCCTGTTCTGTCCTATCTCATCCTATTTCATCCTATCGCATCCTTTCTATTTCATGCTATCTCATCCGATCTCATCCTTTCTCGTCCTATCTCATCCTATCGTATCCTGTGTCATCCTATCTATATAACCCTATCTCACCCTCTTACCCTATCTCATCCTACCTCAGCCTATCTCACTATCTCATCCTATCTATCCAACCTATTCTCTATCCTACCTCACCCTATCCTATCCTATCCTAATCCTATCCCATCCTATCTACCCTATCTGTCCTATCTATCCTATCTATGCTTTCTATCCTATCTCATCCTATCTGTCCCAATACAACAACACACCACACATTCCGCACTTTCCACGCACTCTACACACCTTCACACTGATTCCGGCGCCGCCCTCCACACTCTACATGCTACACTGCAAGCTTTAAACTCGACACTCCATGCTTCCCACTCTACAATCTTTACCCCAGACTCCACGCTCTACAAGTTACATCTCACACCCACACACTCCAACATCTCCAACACTCCACCTTCTAAAAGCTGCACTTCATGCTCCCTACAGTGAAATTTTTCATTTGACACCCGGCACACACCCGGCACGCTCTCCACACCGTTTGCACCTTCCACATGCTATTTGCACACCCCACGCTCCGCAAACTCTACGCCCCGCAATCTACACTTCACATTGCACACTCCAACGCGCCACCCTCCACACTCCACGTTCGACACTCGCAACTTCACACTCCACATTCCCCACTCCACACTGCAAACTCTAATTACTCTGTACAATTTCACGCCAGGCACCCTGTTGGTTGTAAACACACCTCAACACACCACACTCTGGAGTTGACACCACTGCACACCCCACACTCAAGATGCTACATTGCACACTTTACACTCCCCACTCGACATTTCACAGTCCACACTGCCAACTGCACCGTCCACATGTCACAATGCATTCCTACACGCTCCACACACCACCCTCCACACTCCACAGTCCACACTTAAGTTTGCAACGCACAGCACATTTTCCAAAGTCTTCCGCGTTCCACCTCAGCCAACAAACTCCACACTCCATACTTTATGAGCCCCGCTTCAAACCCAACAGTCGGCACTCAACACTCTACCGTCCACACACACCAACCTTCACATGCGCATCGCACGGCTTCCCAGTCTACACACTACACTTCACACTCTGTACGCTGCGCACTCTGCTCTCTACCTAGCACCCTCCACAATCTACACCCTACTCCTCGCACGCAATTCACTTGAGTCCACACTGCAAACCCGACGCTCCACGCCCCACACGCTCCTCATTCCACAATCTCTACACGAGTTGCACGCTGCTCTACACTCACCACGGTCCAGACGTGACCCTCTAAACTCAACTCTTCACACTGAAACTTTAAACTCTACACTGCAGACCCCACACCGCACACAATATACACCCACACTTCACATTCAATACTCTACACACCTCACACGCAACCCTCCGCGAACACTCTATACACTCCAAATTTTAGATTTCTCACTTTCCACAAAACACATTCCACACACCTGGCGCTCCCAAATCTATGTCACACACAACACTGCAGACTCTACATTTCACAACCTACGCGCTCCACCCTCTACAACCCGGCGGGACGCTTTACACCCGGCACTCCACATTCTACACAGCGCATTCAAACTTGCACTCCAGACGCCACCCTCCGCACTTCACATTCTATATTTCACACAGCATCCCACTCTACACCCCACTAACCCAATATCTACACACTACACTTTGGAGACCATTCTCTCGACCGTCGACAATCCACACTCCACACTGCAAACTTTCTATGCCTGGTCCTGCAACCTCCCACACTCTCTAGACACGCTACACCTTGCGCGACACACGCTGCAATCCAGACGTGACCTTCAAAAATCCACATCGACACTTTAGACTGCAAATTCTACACTCCACGCTGCAAACTCCACACCTCACATTATGCACTAAGCACTCCGCACTTCACATTCAATAGCCTACAAATGCCTACACCACCATCCACGCTCCACACGCTACAGTTTACGCCAAAGACATTTTACCTACATGCCCAGCGCTGCGTTTCACATTCTACACACCCAGCACTACAACTTCACACCATACACGGCAAACTTCGCACGCCACACCCTGCAAACTCCACTCGCCAGTTGCCACACTCCACCCATTCCCCGCATTGCACAAACTATATACATTCAAACTAGCAGCTTCCCACTCTAGAAACTACATGACACTCCTACACTTCACGCGTTTGCACCCTGCAGACCCCACACAGCACCATGCACGCCCCACATTCTACACTACTCGACAGTCCAGACTCGACAGGTCCCATTCTCATTGCACTGCAAACTCTGCAACCTCGGCACTCCACATTCTACACACTCCCGAGCCCACGCGCAGAGAAAAGGTGGAAGATGGTGCAAGGTTCAAATCAGTGGGCCAAGGGTAAAAAAGAGTAGGCCAAGGTTAAAGAAAGAGCAGGCCAAGGCTTAAAAAATAAAAGGACCGGATAACCCCACATGTCAAGCCTTTATGTATCTAAGGTTAATGTACACTTCGGGGAGGTGTGATAAGTGAGGTGTGAGACGTGGACTTGTGATGTCAGGTGTGAGAAGTGGAGCTGTGATGAGTTCTGATGGGATAAGTGAGGTGTGAGAAGGGGTGTGAGAAGTGGAGCTGTGATGAGTTGGGATGTGATAAGTTGTGATGAGTTGTGATAAGAAGTTGTGATGTGATAAGTGAGGTGTGAGAAGTGGAACTGTCACGAGTTGGGTTGTGATAAGTTGCGATGAGTTGTGATGAGAAGTGGACCTGTCAGAAGTGGAGCTGTGATGAGTTGTGGTGAGTAGTGGAGCTGTGATGAGTGAGGTGTGAGAAGTGGAGCTGTGATGAGTTGGGATGTGATAAGTTGCGATGAGTTGTGATGAGAAGTGGACCTGTGAGAAGTGGAGCTGTGATGAGTTGTGATGAGCAGTGGGGCTGTGATGAGTGAGGTGTGAGAAGTGGAGCTGTGATGACTTGGTATGTGATAAGGTGTGATGAGGTGTGATGAGTTGTGATGAGTTGTGATGTGATAAGTGGGTCTGTGATGAGTGGTGATGATAAGTCTACGGCGGCGGAGGCGGGAGCAGGAGCGGCGGGATCCAAGTGAAAAACAAGAGCCCGGCACAGTGATACATGCAGTTGGCGAGCCCAACATCGCAACCTCCTCTGTGTACTGGGCCTGCCACGAGAAAGGCAGCCGCGAGCAAGGCTAGTAAGGGCGCATAGAGACAGATATAGGAAATTTCAACATAGCCATAAGGAGGCGAGGGAGACAAATGAAATCGTGGCAAAGGAAATATTCCATCCAAAGGCAGCCGGAGACAGATGGAAAGTGAAGTAGGGAGGCAAGGGGGAAGGGAGGCATAGGCAAGCCATGGCGCTTGCCCACTAGTCCCGACAGTCTTCCTATGTCCTGTTTTCATACAGGGATCCAACGGGGGATAGGTCCGGGATAGGGCAATCTTCGCCAGATCACCAAGGCAGTCGGGCCCCGCTCTGAGCAAACTCCTGGGCGTCCCAATGGCGCAGCTCCGCTGCACTGCCAACGAGATGAGTCGCTATTTGTCGGCCAACGCCACTTTCCTCAGCATCATTGCCACCAGCCCAGCGGTCCATGGCGATCCCCCGCAGGACTTCAATGGCAATAATGTGCAGATAGGCCGGACAAATAAGGGGATAAGAATTGCCTCTGTTGGAGATTGGAAACGGTTTGTTGATGCTAACTATTGAAATGATCTTAATAAGCTAGGATTCGGATTATGTCTATCTGACAGCCGCAGGCTGAGTCCAGATCAGATCAGGGAATTATTTTTGGAAAACAGTCGCCCGGTGCTTTAGTTGTGCGCTGTATTGTTTACTGGGTTCAAGCTCTCGCTCAAACCCTTTTCTTTTCTTCCATTTGTTTTATCGTTTTCTCAATTTCGGTCATTTTTCTCCTTTTGCCTATAGTATTTTTGACGGGACATTGCCAAAATGATCTTTCGTTCCAACCTTTTTTTCCCCTTGTTAATCTTATCTTTCATTTTCGTTTTCATTTTCTTTTGCTTCATGTTTGCATTCTTATCCATGTCTTTTCTCGTTTTCATGTTTCATTTGGATTTCAATTATTTTTCTCGATTTCATTTTTTCATTTGGATTTTCATTATATACCTTCTTTTGGTTTTCTTTTGGATGCTGGCCACCTGCCCTCATTTTCCCGTCTTGGTGCCAGTGATCCGTTTCCATTTCTTTCTGCTATATTCAGCTGGGCTTTGCCATCATGATGGACAGGCTGCCGCCCAGATGACAGGATATTCAGAATGAAAAACACATGCCCAAGGAGGATAGATTCGGAATGAGAAAAGGTGAGCATGGTCAACCGGGAAAAACGGGAATAGTATGGAATAGAAATGTTTGATTCTCCGAAAAGCAAGTACGGAAACCTAGGCAATGCAATTGACAGCAGCATCATGTCCAAAAGGCGTGCTTTTGGTTTTTTGATCATTTAATGATCATTTAATGACCATTTTCCGTGTGTTTTTAGGGGGTGAAGCACCAACTGCTGCTATTGCAGGTGCTTTGATGATGCCTTTGGCGGAAGAGCGGGGCATCAGCAGCTTTGGATCTGAAGAGATGCAGGCGATACAGGACTTGGATCTCCGAGTTTGTCCAAGATTTTCGGTCATTTTTTGGTGGGAGAATGTCGGAGAATGGGATGATCACGTGGGATATAGTGGGATTATATTGGGAGGTTTTTTCATGGGTCTTTTCGGTTGTTTCTGGAAAAATCCCTTGCAGTTCAAATTGACATATCCAACAAAAGTGTGGTTTAGTATTGGATCTATGACCCGCTCCGGCCGCTTTTGGGAGTATCTAATATTGGGAGGATGAGACAAAACTATACAAAACTAGGATTGTGATTTACATTGCTGTAGCTTTTCGGGGCGCCATAAGAATCAACAAAGGAATCCCGTGCGCAGCAAAAGACTTCTTTCCGCAAAAAGTGTGTCCGCACAACATATGGGATTCTTACCGTAATGGCCGCAATGGGGAAGGCCGGGTTTATCCAGGGTTCATGCCCGCGTGTCCAGCCATTTTGTTGACCATTTCGGTGCAAAAAAAAATTCCCTTCTGAAGGAAGCCTCACACGAAAACTGGGCTTGGAAAGTTCTCTTGTGGAGGTGCGTTCTCGCCTGCGTGCCGTGTCCGATTTTTGATCCCTGCGCGTTTTTTTTTGGGTGTTGCAGGCGCCAGAGATTCGGCACTCTTGGAAGGTCAGACTGATTTTTCGTGTAACAGGTGCAAGACTTCAGGCACTTTTTCACTTGCGTGGCAGGCGCAGTACTTCGTACGTGTTCCCGCACGCGTGGGTCGAAGTGAGGCCCTCATGAGAAGATGATCTTGTGGAGGTCCTGGTGAAAGCCTCTAAGGGTCCAAGAGGTTTGTTTATTGACTTTTTTGTTGATATCTCGTCAGCGATGTTTGTATGAAGGCTATTGTGCGATGCTCTTGGAGGTTCTTGTATGAATAAAGACCTGCAGGCTCTTGTCAAATGTCTTTCTATGAAAATCTTGTGAGACTACTCAAGAAGACGCAGGAAGATCTTGATCAAGATCTTGTAGAGGTTCTTGTGAGAAGATCTTCTGGAGATCGTGATGAAATCAATCAATCTCCAGAGAAGCCTTGCCATGAAAACCTTGAAGATATCGTCGATCTTGCTAGCGGTGCTTGTATGAGAACTTTTGTGGGATGCTCGTAGGAGATTTCTGTATAATTACATCTCTTGCACGATCTTCTTCCCAGCTTTGAGATTCTTGGAGGTCCTGGTATGAAGAAACTGGCCAAGATCACAGACTGTGAGAAGATCTTGCTGAGATCCTGGCGAGGTGCCCTAGGGTCCTTCTACAAAGATCTTGACATCGCGTTCGAGGTTCATGTACGGAAACTATGATGGGGATGCTCTTACGAGTTCTGAAAAGCATGCAATGCTGCTGAACAAGTGTAGGAAGTTGCAGTAGGGTTGGAGGGTGCGAGAGGGCCAGCTTGTGGCCAATTTTGGCTCAAGTTGGCTCCCTCTTTTTGAGTGGTGGTCGCTCTTTGCAAAGGAGTGGCCATCACGAGTAGCCTATGGCTGCCTTGCTTGGGCCATGGGACTCTTTGAGCCGATTTCGCTCTGTGGGCGATGTGCTGGGCCACTTCAATGTGGATGAAGGGGTGTGGCGCTCCTTTGAAGCTCAGATAGGAAGCCCGGGAGCAGACTTACCACTTACGTCTCCTGGCAGCGCTGCCGAAAGTAGCCGTCAGCACTGGATGCGGAGGCGCAGGCACCCCTGAAGGACCTTTGAACCCCATCCAGGCTACTCAGGTGGGGTTAGTTTGGCGCATGGCCAGACGTATCATGGCAGCAGCCTCCGGGGTAGACGAGACAAACTTTGGACGTGGACCCTTGGTTGGAAGCTTCAAGCACCAGTACAGGAGGTACAGGTCCACCTGAACCTACGTCGAGGCCAGCTAGTGGGTCGGTGAGGGAAAGAGTCTTAAAGATGAATTCCTTCATTGACCAGCAGGATGAATCAGCATTACTAGCCCCATCAGCTGCAGAGGTGCATAGGTGGTATCAAAACTACATCATAACCATAGGTTCGCAGCCAGACGAGACAGAGGAGCCCCTCTTGTGGCGTCGCAGCTGGCTGCACTTCACAAGAGGGTCTTCGTGGAGAACAGGCCATCGTATACCGATTTTTCGGTTTGGACACCATTCGAGAGGCGAATGAGCCGAGTGCAGAAGTGCCGAGTGTACACTCGGCACTTACCTTCAGCGAGACCTACCAGTTCCAAGCAGCTACACTGCTTGGAAAGCGTCGTGGAACGTTTTCAAAGCAGCATGCCTGATGCTGAACATTTGTTCGATTGCGTCATTGGAGGCATACGCCAAGCAGGTGGAGAAACTGACGACGCAGTGGCCACGCTGCTGGGGGTTGATATACCTCGCTCATGATTCTGGCCGTGCTGAACGATTTGAAAAGATCCGCAGGAAACTCACCATATGGAGTCACCTCAGAACCGACAGGTGCCGAGGATTAATGGGACCCCGTCCGTGGTCTTGCGTGTTCGTGCAGTTGGCCATGGACTCCGAATTCTGGGCAGAAAGAGTTCATCACCTTGCCGCAGCATGGACGGCATCCGGAGGTAAAGGAGCTCCTTGCATTGCCACTGCAGCTGCAGATGCCATCCAGGGAGGTCAAGGAGCACTTGGGCATGAGCAGGAACTTGGCCAAGGAACCTCTGATTCGAGGAGGATTCAGGCGAACAGAGATGGGCGACAGGCCAAGAAGAGACAGACGCTTGGTCACAGAGCTTCAGCCCCTTCCTCTTCAGGCAAAGGAGCTGGAGGTGGAAGAGGGAGGGGCAAAGGAAAATCCAAAGACCAATCAGGTCTGGAGCTCTGCTACAGCTGGGCGTCAGGGAAAGGACATTGTGCAGATGTAGCCCCGGAGGGGAGTGTAAGGGGCCCGTTAAGCGGATCCATAAGTGCCGCATTTGTCTTCCACCATCGCAGAAGGATGCGGGTTGCAGGTCTGGATGAACCTTGGGACTGGCAAAAAAAGGTGCATGCTGATCTGCTCTTGGCGGGGTCTTCAGCTTGGGGTTCAGATCATGTGCAAAAGGTGTTTCATAATAAGTTTATTTTGGAGTTTGGTTGAAGGTTGCAGGGCAGTTGTAGCCGTCAATGCATTTGGTTTCAGAGTGGAGTGCGTTGCAACAGGTTGCAGCTTTTGTGTTGGATTGCAAGGGGCGTCACTCTTGGGAAATCTGACTGTAGTGTGCCCCGCAACTTTGGCTTAGCATTTCCACCCCTGCCAACGTGGAGGGATACGGAAGGTATAGCTCTGATGGGGTCGTCGGCAATTTTTTTGAAGGCGATGATCCGGAAGCTATGGAGCCTGTGAAGGCCGAGGCAGCAGGTCAAGTGCAAGCCAAATCTGAAGCTGGAGATAAAGAGGCACGTGGCAGCCCAAAGGAAGTGAAAGAAAAGGTCGGCTCCCCCCCAGCGTGAAAACACCGGACCCTCAGAGAGCGTCGACACCAGAGGCTTCTGCAGACACATCCAAAGCCGGGCCATGGATTCCAGAGAGAGTGAAGACGGCATTGGAGGCGAGTAACTCCGACCAGCTTAGAAAGAAGAGACCGCTCAGATACCTTCACATGTTCTCAGGTGAAGAAGATCAGTTGGCAAAGTCTCTCAAGGCAGAAGCGACCCGAGCAAGGTTGGAGATCTACGTGGAGTCTTTGGACAGGAAGCGGGACTCAGAATTGAACCTAGCGAGCCACCTGGTTTACGACGAGATAGAGAAGTCCAGCACGAACGGCTAATGGGACGGATTTCATAGTGGGTTCCTTGCAGCTCATTTTCAAGGGGTAGGTGGAGAGACTCGCCAGGTGGGGCACTGCCGGTGTGTTCAGCGGCACATATACGGCTTGCCGGGCAATACTCCAGCACAACAACGAGAAGCAGACGAAGGAACATTAATGGCTGTACGCTCAGGTTGGCTGCGCGAGAAACAAGTGATGAGCTGCAGAAAGCGCGCAGTTCCAGAGGTCCCCACGCGGAAAACCCACCAGGTCCTCAAGATTCTGGAAGCGCTTGGGAACTACCGGAGATACAGGCTGTCATCGCGGACGCTGGGTCATCCACGGTTGAGTTCAACACTTGTGCATACCAGACGCAACAGAAAAGAAGATGGTTCAAGCCGGCGAGATGGATTGGGAAGCTAGAATCCAGCGCGTCCTTGGCAAAGGTCTGCAAGTGCCAGCTGTGGGTGCAGCATGTGCCGGTAGTTAGGAAAGGCAACACAGAAGTGGCGGGAGCATATCCTCCTGATCTGACAGACGCCACCGCCAAGAAGATCATCGAGGCGTGGAAGCGTATCTTGAACTTGGAGTGGCTTTGATACCAGCTGCAACAAAAATCAGACAAGGTCAACAAGCTGCAGGAGAGGTGGTTGGAGAACGAAGAGAAACGCAGAAAACGTGTCTACGTGGAGGAAGAGCCATCCAACACGAGACTGCTCACTGGAGAAGTGAAGGCGCGCAGACTGGTGACAAAAGCCACGGAGAGCTACGACAGAGAAGAGGAGCATCTTCCGTCGTCGTCGACAGGCCCATCAAAGAAACAGCACAGGGTGATGAACGAGTTTGCGATAGGTGGCATGCGCAACCCATTGGCAGCTGTGTCAAGATTGCATCAAGTTCGTCAATTTGGAGAGATGATCCACGCGGCATGGATGGACTTCGTGACACAGAACCCAGAGGCGCTGTCAGCGGCCATAAACTATACGGATCTAGCGAGGCAAAGTTTGACAAGGACATCCTGTCAAAGTGGACGGAAAGGTTGGGGAGTCTGCTTGAGATGGAAGTCCAGGACGGCATAACCTTCAAGGAAGAGGTAGGGTTCAGGTCACCATTGCACAGTGGCCTCTGGGAGAGGGTCAAGTCCAGAGACCCGGATCAATGCATTGACCAGATTTGACCAGTGGGCTCGAGAAGGCGCACCCCTGGGCATGGAGTGCGAGGTGCAAGAGTCTAACATTTTTCCAAGAGTGGAATCTGGCGAGGCACTGGAGTCCAAAACAGACCTGAACGAGTTGCTAGGGATGAAAAACTACGAGTCAGTAGAATTTGAGAAAGAAGAAGCGTGCGTGGAAATTGACAGGTACATCGAGCGGGGCTTCTGCAGGGTCATGCTGCTGGAGGCGTTGCGTGAGCGCTTCAAAAGAGGCACAGCAGCTTCGAAGTTGGCCTTGATCCTCAAACAAAAGCCGGACGGATCAACGAAGAGAAGGATAGTGATTGACATGAGGCGCTCACTGGGGAATGCCCGTGCCAAAGTGGGCGAGAGGATTGTGCTGCCAAGAGCACAGGACATAGTGCAGAGCTTGCGGGTCACGTGAGCACAAGAACAGGAGTTGGATGAAAGCGAGAGCAGGTGGCTCCCCAAGGGAAGCAGATCTCACTCTCAGTCCGAGGTGGGGTTGACTTGCAGGACGCGTTTTGTCACTTCGGTGTCCATCCTGATGAACTACGACATTGCATCAGCCCAGGATTGGAAAGTGGCACCGGAATCCTTTGGGTGGCGATGTTGTTTGGCTTCAAGGCAGCACCACTCGTTATGGGCCGCTTGAGCGCAGCCGTCGAGTGGCTGGTGCAGTCGTTGTTCCACCCAGCTTCAGACAAGTCCAAGTCTACATAGACGACGTGGAGCCCGGAACTGCGCAACCTGCAGTTAGCAAAGGTGCTGTACGTCTTGGCAGCGTTTGGAGTCTAAGTTGCCCTTCCCAAAGGAGAGCGGGGCAGATCCGTGACTTGGATTGGCACAACGTTCGAGCTCCATCGACATGAGCTGGTCATGGGCACATCCAAGAGGTAAAGGACACACTGGCGAGCTGGGAAGGCAAAGGCATGGCGGCGACAAAGGAGCTCAGGGCGTTCCTCGGAAGGTTGTCATGGATTGCAGGTAATTGTCCCAAGACTGAGGTGGACGGTGACAGCCATGTACGCGGTTCTCACCAGCGTGCTGCAGGAAGAAGACAGGGAAGAGGAACGCGCCAAAACAGACGTGGAGACACACGTTCAAAGCATGGACTTTTTGCGGTCAAGCGTCTGGGCACAGCTATGCCTTGGCTGAAGGCGGCTTTCGAGACACCAGAGACCATGTTGATCAGAAGGGAGCCGCTTCTGGAACAAGAGCCGACGTGGTGTTGTCACAGACGCTTCACCCGACGGAATTGAAGTACTTATCCACCGAGTGGGCTCCCAGTGGTACATTGTGGAGGCTTTTGAGGCACCGGTGCAACCCCACCAGGCAACGGCACTGGAAATTGAGTTCAACAAGCCTGGAAGGGTTAGGAGTCCTTTGAGCATTGCAAATTTGGAGCCCAAAGCTGCAAGAAGGGCCAGTGCTCATCAGGTCCGATAGCGCAGTAGCGTGCGCTATGGCCAAGCAATTGAAGTCACCCACCAAGCCGTTGAACTATCTTGCAACGGAACTTGCGCTGCTGCTTGAGAGAGCAAGGATTCCGAGGTTGCTCCACAACACGTGCCAGGGAAATTAAACCTGGAAGGGGGCTGGCTCGAGGCTCACCAGCCGAGGGCCGATGCCAGCCAACCTCGTGGGCGTCAAACTCAGACGGACGACAGCCCTATCTGAGAGGAGCATGATTATGGCACCACCTGCAACTCCGGGCAGCCCGTGGGCGCAACAGATGGTGCAGCCGGTGGGCGGCTTTGAAAGCTTGTGATGCAGCCGGAAAACGTAGGCTGTGACAGAATGCTGCGTCAGACAGGGGTCATACACAACACGCATGCAGGCACATAAGCATCTTCACATACGATACACTTTCTGCAGCCCTTTTTCAGGTTCAATGATGGAGGTCGCTCTTGTCCCTCCACCGGTTTCTTTTAGCGTGGTGCCACAGGCGCATAACCCCGCTGAAAATTAGGGAGCATGGATTTTCCTCGCGCTGGTCTTCATGTGCGGAATGTTATTTCAAGCATGTGTGCCGCGGCTTTGCCACCTGGGATGGATATGGGGCGGCAAGGTGAAGGCATGCATACAGGGATGGCAGCGCTGGTGGCATCGTGCAATGGGAAACCACCAGAGAGAAAGGAGCTCCGGAACACCACTCCGAAATGGGATACTAGGACTCCTACGACCACCAGCTTGGCTCAGTTTGACAGAGATAAGAGCTCCAGACACATCGGTGCCAAGCTCCTCCAGTCGCAGACCGGTCTCTTCACTTTGGGGCCCAGCAATGCCAAGGTCGAGAAGGCCAACGACAGGCTCCTACAGCCATCAACAGCGAGCAAGCGACACCACAACAACGATGGGGGCGATGATCGTCCGCAAGTCCTCGAAGGTGAGCCACAGGGATCAATCTTTGCAAGAGTGCGATAGCGAGGCAAAAGTTCCCCTGAAGCTGGCAGGCAGCGTGGCGCGAGACAAAACTTGGCCGGGGAAAGCCAGAAAGGCCTTCATAAAGAAGTTCTACTCACCCGGCACCCTGGCGACCAAGAGCGCCAAGAAACGCAAGGTGGCGGAGATCTTGGAAGGACTAGGAGGAGAGCCCTTCCCAGTGATGGTGGAGAGCGTGACGAGTCTAGCCGCGGTACTGGATTCCACGGGCATGAAAGCGGGAGATCAGTATCTAGCAGAAGCCAAGTCAATGCACGTGGAGCTGGGCTATGACTGGGACATCCAAATAGAAAAGCAGCTCTCTTCCTGCAGGAGGGCAATGCAATGTGACAAGGGACCTGAAACCCTAGCTCCAGAGGTGAGGATTAGAGACATACAAGAGCACGAGTGGAACAGGTCGAACGAAACGAAGGGATAACCCAAGAGGGTTGCCTGGTCGTTCTCATGGGCGTCGATTTGGATGCTGAGGGCCATTGAAGCCTCACAAGCGTCAGTGGGCGGTAAAACCGGATGACTCATCAAGAAGTCCAAGACGGATCAGAAGGCTCAGGGCACCTGGAGAAAGAACGTTGGGGTATTGCGCCATGCCACAACATGCTCAAGGGATTGCGCCTGCAACTTAGCATTCTTGGCGGGATGTCGAAGGAAGGCCACCCAACACCCCTCTCTTCCCGGATGCCGAAGGTAACTTGGTGACAAAGCTCCACATGGTGACGGCGTGGACTAATCATCTGGATGAGAGGGCCACGGGCCATTCAGCGAGAAGGTCGGGCGCAATGGCATATGCAAGAAAAGGAATGCCAATTCAGTCAATCCAACTCCTGGGCCAATGGAAATCGTCGGCCGTCTTCAGGTACGTGGAGGAGGCGATGACTGAAGTACGGGAGCCCCTGGCACCGAGCAGGAAGCGGATTACCACAAGCGCAAGTCGCTCAGGCCGAAACGGGAAGCATCCCCGAAACGATCTACAGAAGCAGCACAGCAAGTTCAGGCGAAAGAGAAGCCCATCGTGAATGAAGCGGACAAGGAAAAGGTATATGCCCTGTCCAACTCCAGAGCAAAGTGGACGAAGCATTTGGTGGGGCAGGCAGCGTAGGGCATCCCACTGGACAGCTGGGCCATGGTTTGTGGATGGAACTTCGCGAAGTGAAATGTCAAGGTGGAACTCACTCAGCATCCCACCAAAGCTGCAGCTCCGTGCAAAAAGTGGTTCAAGCTTCACGAGGGGCGCGACGGAGTCAAAGGAGCCAGGGAATGGGGGCCAAATATGGGTCTATGAGTCTATGAGTCCTCAACCGAAGGACAAGAAAGATTGGAGGTTTGGGAAAGATTCAGACACAGTCAGCACAGCTGCTGTTAGCAGACAAGACCTACCATCCTGCCAAAAAGGATGCCTGTCCGCTATGGAGGGAGGGTGGGCATGAGACTTGCAACAAACGCAACACTTGTTCTGTTTGAAAAAAGATATGTACGATCCTCTAGTGGTGCTCTTAGGAGGGTTTTGCATAAGATCTTGTACGATCCGCTAGTGGGTCCTTCTATGATGACTTTGTGATATATTCTCTTAGAGGTCCTGGTATGAAGATTTTGTAGAGGTTTTGCCAGTGCTTTGTATCAGCAGATATTCTTCTCAACGCTGTTTGAGGTCTCTTGCCAAGATATTTTTTTAATTCAAGGTATTGAAGATGTGCCATGGTTATCAGGGGCTGTCCCATCTGCCCGCCATGGATGATGAACCAACGATGCATATGGAGTGCTTGTTGATTGATGCAGGAGTTCCTTGATTCCGGCAGTGCACCTGTCTACTTCGGTTTCGGATCAATTATCTGTCACACTTCGAAGTTCATGACCCTTCTGTGCTTGAGGGCTCTGAGACTCACCGGTGAGCGTGGCATCCTGTGCCGGGGGTGGAGCACCATGTGCTTGGACGATTTGCAGGGGGAGGTTGACGGTTTCAAAATGCGGGATGGGTCAAAGAAGTTGGCTGCACGGAGCAGAGGTTTGATGCGCCTAGATCGGCCTCATAGTAAGCCTTAATAAGTAAGCCGACAAAAAATAGAGAATCAATTTCAGGAGGATTTTGCATGTCTTTCATTTTGGGTCTTGCAATATCTGTTAGCAATCCATCTCTTGGGGTACTGGAATGAGGACCTTGGAGCTTCTTCAAGTAGCTCAGCAAGCTTGGTTGACGATTGGTATTGTCGAAAATTTTTGGGGTCACATGGACATATATTTCAAACTAGTGGGGCGCCCAAGCCCTTCCAACGGTTTTCCAACGAACAAAAATAGGTGTAAGACCCGTTATTTGTGGCTGCAGCATTTCCTTAAAAGGAAGCAAGCGATCCACCCTGGTAGGCGGATGAAGAGGATCTAAAGGCATATTGCCATGAGAAGGTTCTGTTCGTGGACAAGGCCCCACACGGCTGGCTCTTCCCGAAATGTCAGGCGCGCCGTCACGGAGAAAGCCTGTGCTTCCTGGGGTGATGGTGTTTCTATACAAAATCTACACGCCAAGATTGGAATTCTATCAGCAGTCATGAATATTGGATAAAACATTGCCCAGTAGTACCTGGCCATGCCGGGGCAGAAGATTCGATAACAGGGGCTATAAGAAAGCAAAAGTACATGGGAAAAAGTTGCTGATTGACATCAATGTTTGGTTGGTTGGGTGACTGAAGGAAAAAGGGATTGAATGATTGAATGATTGAAGCGCCGCTGAGAGAATGAGCTACCCGTCTCCACAGATCTACTCTGGGTTACTTTTTCCCTGAGCTCTTGCTTCTTTGGGCTACATCTTCTCCGAGCTGCCTTCAGAACTCAATTTTTCTTTGTAAGTAATTGTAGCTCTTCTTTCAGCTTCCCTCAGCCAATTCGTTTCTCAGTTGCTTTCTCAGTTGCATTTCTGGGCTATCTTCTTTGAACTAAATTTCCTCTGAACAACTTCTTCATGTACTTCTTGTCTTTAGTCGCTGAGCTACCTCTTCTCTGATTTTTCCCCAACAGCAGAAGCTTTGGGGTCTTCAGCCATAGTAAAGGTTTCGGAGCAGACCGGAGCAGCTCCAAAACCCATTCCCCCAAGGTTCCCAAGGTTCCCAAGGTTCCCAAAGTTCCCAAGGTTCCCAGGGTTCCCAAGGTTCCCAAGGTTCCCAGGGTTCCCAAGGTTCCCAAGGTTCCCAAAGTTCCGAAGGTTCCCAAGGTTCCCAAGGTTCCCAAGGTTCCCAGGAACAAAGGTTCCCAAAGTTCCCAAGGTTCCCAAGGTTGCGAAGGTTCCGAAGGTTCCCAAGGTTCCCAAGGTTCCCAAGGTTCCCAGGAAGAGGTTCCCAAGCAACGTTCCCAAGCAAGGTTCCCAAGAGGTTCCAAGCAAGGTTTTCAGGAGGAGGTTCCCAAGCAAGGTTTCCAAGAGGTTCTAAGAAAGGCTCAGAGGTTCCCAAGCAAGGGTTCCCAGCAAGAGCTTCCCAAGCAAGGGTTCCCAGGAAGAGGTTCCCAAGCAAGGTTCTCAGGAAGAGGTTCCCAAGCAAGGTTCCCAGGAAGAGGTTCCCAGGAACAAGTTAGATCCCAAGCAAGGTTCCCAGGAACAGGTTTTGCAAGCACGGATTTCAGGAACCGTTTTCAAGGTTCCCAAGAACCGTTTCCCAAGCAAGTTTTCCAGGAACATGTTTTTCCAAGCAAAACAAGGTTCCCAGAACAGGGTTTCAAGCAAGTGCTTCCAGGAAGAGGTTTCCAGGAAGAGGTTCCCAAGCAAGGTTCCCAGCAAGTTTCCCAAGCAAGATTTCCAGGAACATGTTTTTCCAAGCAAAACAAAGTTCCCAGGACAGGTTTTCAAGCAAGTATTTCCAGAAGAGGTTTCAAGGAAGAGGTGTCAAAGCAAGGTTCCCAGCAAGCTGGTTCCCAAGCAAGGTTTTCAGGAAGAGGTTCCCAAGCAAGGTTCCCAGCCACAGGTTCCCAGGAACAGGTGCCCATACAAGGTTCCCAAGAACAGGTTCACAAGTAATTCCCAAGCACGTTCCCAAGCAAGGTTCCCAGCAACAAGTTCCAGGAACAGGTTCCCACACAAGTTTCCCAAGAACAGGTTCACAAGTAAGGCTGCCGGAAAAAGTTCCCAGGCAATGTTTCCAGGAAAAGGTTCCCAAGCAAGGTTCCCAGGAACAGCTTCTCAAGCAAGGTTGCTAGGAAGAGGTTCTGAAGCAAGGTTCCCAGGAAGAGGTTTGCAAGCAAGGGTTCCCAGTTGTTCCTGGAAATTTTGCTTGGGAACCAGCTCTTCCTGGGGACGCTAACTTGAGAACCTTTTTCTGCGAGCCTTGTTCGTGCTTGGAACCTTGCTTGGAAACGGTTCCTGGGACCTTGCTTGGGAACCGTTACCTGGTAGCCGTACTTGCAATCGGTTCCTAAGAAATTAACCTTGCTTGGGGTCCTCAGCCACCCCAGGAACAAGATTTGCAATCACATTTTGCGGCTTTAGGTTCGCAAGCAAAGTTACCAGGAACGATTCCCAAGCCAGGTTCCCAAGAACAGGTTCCCAGGCAAGGTTCCCAAGCAAGGGTTCCAGAAACAGTTGCCAAGCAAGGGTTCCAGAAACAGTTGCTAAGCAAGGTTCCCAGGCCAGGAACAGGTCCCCAAGCAAGGTTCCCAGGAACAGGTTTCCAAGAAAAAGGTTGCAAAAAAGGTTTCCAAGAATAGATTCGCAAGCAAGGGGTTTCCAGGCAATGTTCCTGGGAACAGGTTTCCAAGCAAGGTTCGCAAGACCAGGTTCCCAAGCAAGGTTCGCAAGAACAGGTTCCCAAGCAAGGTTCGCAAGGTTCACAAGCAAGGGTTCCAAGAACAGTGCCTCAAGTTCCCAACAGAGGCTTCCAAGAACAGGTTTCCTTGCAGGGTAGCGGCAAGGTCCTTGGGAACAGGTTCCCAAGCAAGGTTTCCACGAACAGGTCCCCAAGCAAGGTTCCCCAAGGACAGGTTTGCAAGCAAGCTTCGCAAGAACAGGTTCGCAAGCAAGGGTTCGAAGAACAGGTTCCCAAGAACAGGTTCGGGTTCCAAGAACAAATTCTCTAGGAAGGTTCCAAGCAATAGGTTGCCAGCACGGTTCCCACGAACATGTTCCCAAGCATGGTTTCAGGTTGTTCATGTTCCCAGGAACAGCTTTTCAAGAACAACTTGCAAAGCGAAATTTCGAAGACCATCTGCAAGCAAGGTTGGAAGCAAAAAAGGGACCCAAGCCAGGTTCCGAAGGACAGGTTCCTAACCAAGGTTCCTAAGCAAAGTTACGAAAAACAGGTTCCCGAGCAAGGTCCCAATGAACAGGTTTGAAGCAAGCAGGCAAAGTTTCCAAGAACAGGTTTCCAAGAGAAAGTTCCCAAGAACAGGTTACCAGGCAATGCTCCCAAGAGCAGGTTCCTAAGAATAGGCTCCCAAGAACAGGTTCCCAAGCAAGGTTCCGATAAACAAGTGTCAAGCAACGTGTCCAGGAACAGTTGCCCAGGCAAGGTTCCAAGAACATTGAACAACAGAACGCTGCAAAGTTTGAAGATTTGTTCTAATAACGGAACGGAGAGATTGAAGAACTAATTTTGCTTCAAAAAATGATACGGCACTCGCACATGGATAAAACACTAGACGACAGCGTGGCATGAAAGAAGGCAGTAGGGAGGAGACGAGAAGATAATACACGAGAAAAATGATGATGGTAATAATGATGACGACAATGATGATGGCGATGACGATGACGAGGATGAATGGCGATGGAGATGATGATGAATGATAGCTGACGCGAGTCAAATATCATATATCCACGGTTTCGCGCCTTTTTTGGCCCCACAGGGGTTTGCTCCAGGGCTGGCACCTGAGTGACAGTCAGAATCCAAAGACATGTTGATTTTACACAGCGAAAAGTTTACGTACAGAGAAGATGTTACACACAGAAGCCTTTACACAGAGAGGGGTTTACACAGAGCAGCTTTTACACAGGCGCTTTTGCACACAGACGCTTTTACACACAGAAGCTTTTGCACAGAAAAGCCTTTTCTAAAGAAGCCTTACCACATGAAGCCTTTACACAGAGCAGCTTTACACACAGACGCTTTTTCACAAAAGAAGTTTTTACACACAGGAACTTTAACGCGCAGATGCCAATGCCCAAGCTTTTACACAGAGGAGCTTTTGCACACACACACGCCTTACAAAAAGAAGCTTTTAGACACAGAAACTTTTACAGCCTTTTCACAAGAAAGCTTTTACACAGAAGCTTTTGCACAGAGATGCCTTTACAAACAGAAGCTTTTACACACAGAAGCTTTTACTCAGAGAAGCCTTTAAACAGAGCAGCTTTTACAGACACAGAAGCTTTTACACAGAGAAGATTTTGCACAGAGAAGCTTTTTCACAGACAAGTGTTTGCGGGAAGGAACTTTGAGCACAAACGGTTTTTAGATACAGCAGCTTTCACACAGAGAAGCTTTTGCGCGGACCAGCTTTTACACTCAGGTTTGTTTTCACAGAGCAGCGTTTACGCGGAGCAGCTTTTACACACCGAAGTTTTGACGCAGAGAGGCCTTTACACAGAGAAGCTTGTACACACAGAAGCTTTTACACACCGACACCTTCGCACACACACACACACAGATGCCGGTACACAGAGCAGCTTTGACACACACAGACGCTTTTACACAGAGAAGCCGTTACACGGAGCAACTTTTACACAGCGCGGCTTTTACACAGAGACGCCTTTACACAAAGAAGCTTTTCTACACAAACGCTTTTACGCATAGAGGCCTTTACTCACAGAAGCTTTTATGCACAGAGGTTTTCACACGGAAGCTTTGCACAGAGAAGCTTTTACACAGAGAAGCGTCTAAACAGAGCATCTTTAATACACAGAAGCATTTGCACACACAAGCTTTACACACACGCCTTTGCACACATAGCTTTTACACACAGACGCTTTTACGCATAGAAGCTTGTTCACAGAGCAGGGTTTACACAGAGCACAGAGAGAGGCCTTTGCACAGAGCAGCTTTTACAATCTTATACGCGCAGAAACTTTAAACACACCCTTGTAAAATCGCAATTTTACACAAGTTTTATTTCGCGCGAAACGGTTGTGCCTGACGTTTCAAAATGGATAAAGTCGCAATTTTACACCAATTCTTGAACGTTGGCATCTGACGTTAAAAAATCGCAGTTTTCCCACAGTTATTGCCGTTTGACTTTCATGCCACGCTTGCATCTGAACTTTCAAAATCACAATTTTACACCAGTTTTTGACGGTTGACCATCATTTCGTGCGAAGGGGCTGTGCCGGGCCTCACCAAATTTGCATTTTGCCACATGTTTGGATGTCCGACCTGCGCGATCTCTGAAGAGGGTTGCCCGTGCCCAAAAGAAATTCACATTCCACCACATGTTTGGGCGTTCGAAACGCACGATCTCCGCAGACGGCTGCTGCGGGCAAAGAAGTTTCGCATTTCACCACACCACATGTTTGCCCATCCGACACGCGCCATCTCCGCAGAGGGTTGCCCAAGGACAAACAAGACCCGCATTTCGCCACACGTTCGGGTGTCCGACACGCCGCAGAGGGTAACGATTCGTAAGCCACTGCCTGGCAGAGAGAAATAGAAGAACTGGAGAAGTCTGATTTTGCAGGAGTTCAGATACAATTTGATCACCTGGAAGTTAGCTGAACCCCTGTGTAGCAACTCCTGTGTAACAATTTCTGTGCAAAATGACCTTGCCGGCAGGAGTCTTGTAGGAGTTCAAGTAGAAATGGATCACCTGCAAGTCAACTCCTGTGTAAATGACATTGTTCAAGTTTTGTAGGAGTTCCCTAGAAGTTGATCACCCGTAGCTGATGTAGGTGATGTTGTCTATGTTGTAGATGATGAAGATGATGATGTAAGTGATGTAAGGTTAGATCGATTTGAAGATGTAGGTGATGTATAGGATGCAGTGATATAGATGATGATGTAGGTTATGTATGCGTTGTAGGTGATGTATATCATGTAGATTAGGTTGATGGAAACATATTGTGTAGGTGATGTAGATGGTGTAGGTGAGATAGATGATGGTGATGATGATGGTGGTGGTGATGGTGATGATAATCATGATGATGTAGGGAAGATGGTGCAGAAGATGTAGTTGATGTGGGTGATGTAGAGGATGTAGTGATGTAGATGATGATGTAGGTATTGTATGTATTGTACATAAAACATGCCATATAGATGAGGTTGATGGAAAATGTGTAGGTGGTGTAGATAATGTAGGTGAGACAGATGTAGGTGATGATGATGATGATAATGATGATGATGATGATGGTGATAATGATGATGATGGTGTAGATGTAGATGTAGATGTAGATCTAGAGAAGATGGTGTAGAAGACGGTATAGAAGATGTAGGTGATGTAAAGGACATAAGAGATGTGGATGATGTATGTTAGGCAGATAAAGTGAAGAGTGAGGCGGACAGCAGTTCTTTGGGAAAAAGCCTTCGCACGAGCTTCGGGAAGTATTGCGAACCCTTTTGGAAAAGCGGTTTTTTATAAAGTGTTTGTGCTGTGATTGCGCCTTGTACGCCCGACCTCTAGAGTAAGAAGGGCGGGGCAATAAACATACTTCACTCATTGCGTGTTTGGCAACTGTTTTTGTTTCTGGCTGTTGGGGATACTCTTTGGGCTTATTTTTTTCTTCGAGTAATTTTCTTCTCTGAGATGCCTCTTCTCTGAGAAACCTCTTCTCTGAACCAACCTCTTCTTCGTTTCTATTTTCTTCCGGTCTGGGAACCAATTCCTCTAGCAACTTCCAAGTGCCTTCCAGACTGCACAAGAGGTTGCACCCTCTCCAGAAACTATCCTGCCCGCAGCAGTTGCAATGTGTTTAGCAACCTCCAGTTGCATTGCTGCGTAGCACAGGAGCCGCATCACATCTAAGACAATCTCGCGTTTGGCAAGCGCTGGTTGTTTTTGTTCTGCAACTCCGGGGGCAAAGTTGAACCCTCGCTGGAGTCTCGTATTGTGGAGTGGGAAGTGTGGAGTGGTTAGTGTAGAGAAGGGTGCAAAGCTAGAGAAAGAGTCAAGTGTGCAATCTGAAGTGCAAAGTGTCTAAAGAATGATTCTAGCATGCAGGTAGAATTAAAGTCCAGAGTGTGCAGTGTAGAAAGCTGTTTGGATTCCAATTGCGGAGTGTACAGTGCAAAGTGTGGAGCGTACAGTGGTGTCAAACACAGTGTGAAGTGTAGCCTTTGCGAGCCTCATCTTCCAATTCTGACCATGCGGTGAAGTGATTTGCGTATTTTTTTTACAAAACCGAGATCTCGCTACGGTTCCGTCCGAGCACAGACCCTCTCTTTCTCTTCACAACAGCCTCCAAAACCTACAAAAACACCTTGTTGACTGCCCGCGCTTCCTCCTTTTCATTGGCTCATGTGCACACACACACACAACTTTTGCATACACTTTATGGTGATTTGGGGGATGGTTTATGATTGTTTTCCACTGTGTAAACCTCCCTGTGATGCTTCCTGGATCGTGACGGATCGTGGTGCCAGGTGGTGGTGCACCATGGAGGTGCTGGCACGCTGCACGCCAGCGCCAGGAGTGGCCGGCCCACTTTGATTGCGCAGATTTTTGGTGATCAACCTGCCCATGCTGCGCTGGTCAATGAAAGAGGCTTCGGGCTGAGCCTGAAGTCCATGCCGAAGGACCTATATATGAACTGGGGGTTGGTGGCCAAAAGATTGAAGAATTCGGGTCTTCAAAGCAAGACCAATGTGGGTCCACAAAACGTAGGAAACCAAAGAAAGGAAACTCACTGTGTGGGATATTTGAAAGTCACGAGACATCCTTTGTTGTCAGAAATCACCTCTCGAGAGAAAGTGATGGAGAGAAAGAGGGACAAACATAGATACTTGAAATCATTCGGTTCCTCCATCTTTGA